TTAATGAATACAATCTGAGCAGGCTTTTCTGATGAAGCACCTGGCTAAACTGGCTTTTACACAAAGTGAATGCTCTCAAGCAGCTCTAACTCAGAAGATGTCTAATTGAGAAATATGAATGACTCACAGGGAAGAACATTAACCCCTAACATTTATTCATACACATGCCTATCAACTGAAAGCAAGTGCGTTACGAATCTAAGTGCAACTCAGTGAAGGAGTGGAGGCGGCTTGGGACCAGCAGGGTCCACGGGGCAGGGAAGCTGCGGGAGCTCCTGGGGCAGGGTGAGGGCTGAGACAGCGTCAGCGACGGCAACGATCAGGACGGTATCACCAGGTTCAATGAGGTGACAATACGATATCGAGCGTCTTCTACTAATTCTTGCAAACCTCTCAACGATAGGTAGCAAACAGATATTTTAAGAACATGAGAAACTACATCCGTGGAGTCCATGCTTTCCGAGCATTAAAAGAAAGAGGAGGACATTAAACTACACTATAGTGGGGCAAGTGGCAAGTTCCAGAATCCTAAGATGATTTTGTCAAGTAAATTTCAAAGAGAAAAAAGAGAAGGAGGAACCTAAAGAGAAGATTTAAAACATGTAACAAACAAATGCAATGTGAGGACCTTATTTGGAATCTGATTCAAACAAACTATCAAAAAATACATATGACATTTGTAAGACAGCTGAAAAACTGGATGTTGACATCAAGGAATTATTGTTAATTTCACAGGTGTGAAAATGGTATGGTGTTACGGCACACACACAAAAAAAGTCCTTACTTTCTAGTGATGCATATGAATTATTTATGGGTGAAATGATGTATGTATAGAATTTTCCTCAAAATAGCATGGAAAGGTGATGAGGAAAGAGTGAAAGAACAAAATGGAGTGATCATAGCCAAGCAAAGAGAATTTCTTTAATCAGAAAGGCCTGAAACGTAAGAAATAGGTTTTACTTCACTTTAACAAGCCTGAGGACTTACACTTTTGAAACTCAGTTTGTGTATCAGTGCCTGAAGATTATGTGTATATCCTCTAGATAAGCCTCTGAAGAACTTAGGGAAGAATGTCCCAGAATCCTCACTGCCTGACATCTGGAAGGTCACCATCCCGGACCAATCCAGAAGAACGCAGGCTGCCCTGCCTGGGGTGGCTCAATGGACTGAACACCGGCGTGCAGATCAAAAGGTCACCAGTTCGATCCCCGGCCAGGGCACATGCCTGGGTTGTGGTTGGGGGCCTGTGAGAGGCAGCTAAATGATGTCTCCCTCCCTCCCTTCCCCTTTCTCTAAAAACAAATAAATAAAACCTTAAAAAAAAAAATGCAGGAGTGATTTTTCTCAAGAACGTACTTTACACTTCTAAAAACTCAACTTTTTTCTTCAGAACACTATCTCAAGGCCCTTGAATATAACGTTGTCATTTAATTCTAGTGAAGCCTCCCGATTGCCCCCCACTCAGCAGACAGGGAGGTGGGTGGGAGCAGCGAAGAACCAAGGTCAGGCAGGGGTGGGATGGCTGCTGCTGACACTGTGTGGTGAGCACGGGGTCCCAATACACTGTTCTGTCCATTTTGGTATATGTTTAAAGTTGTCTGTAATAAAAGGTCCTTTCCTTTCCTTTCCTTTTTTTTTTTTTTTTTTTTTCTGAAGCACGAGTAGAGATGCTCTGTGTGTGTAATAGAGTCTTGCACCCTCTGCTTGCTTACACGCCTCGGAGGCGCTCAGTACTGCTGGAAACAGCTTGCAGATGCCCTGGATGGTGAGAAAAGGCAGGGTATTGGCCAGGCCCTCCCTGCAAGCCATTCCCCTGGCTGCAGATGCCCTTCAAGGACTGTCCTCAGGGAAGCACTGTGCCTCCAGGTTCTCAAAGTGTGGTTCCTGGACCAGCAGCAGCAGCAACAGCAGCAACACCTCCTGGGAACTTGTTAGAAGTGCAAGCTCTCTGTCCCACCAGACTCACTGAATAGAAGCTCTGTGTCTTATAGGACCGTGATGCATGATCACTTTTGAGAACCACAGGAACAGAGGGTTGGAATAGAAAACTGACCTGAGATCCCAAAACCATTGCTCTGAGTTCATCTCCTGCCGGGGTGGAGTGAAGCTGGGAACTGTACTTGGGGTCAGGGTGTGGGAGGGGAGAGGTGGCTGATGCTCTGTGGGGCATGTGCTAGCACAGAGCCGAGGGCTTTCTTTCTTTCTTTCAAGATTTTATTCATTTATTTTTAGAGAGATGGGAAGGAAGGAGAGAAATATTGATGTGTGAGAGATACACTGACTGACTGCCCCTCCCACACTCCCAACCACAGACCTGGCCTGCAACCCAGCCATATGCCCTGATTAGGAATTGAACCTGCAACTCTTTGGTTCACAGGTCAGCACTTAATCCACCGAGCCACACCAGCCAGGGCTGTAATAAAAAAATTTTATACTACATGACAAATCACAATAGTTACACCAAATTCTTCAGCAAAAGATGACATTAAGAAAATTAGTCTGAGTACATTATTGCCCTAGAGTACTGAATTTTTAAAGTCTACATGACTTTTTTTAAAAGTATTAAACATATACATGGTTAACTTCACTTCTTGGAATTAATCTTAAGGAAGCAATGAAAGATGGATAAGATAGGATGGTCCTCACCATGCAGTCCCTCAAAGAGAAAAGTCAGATTAAATAAATTGTGGCACAATAAAATAATATTTCCGTACTTAAAAATATATTGTAGAGAAGTACCCCATAATGCAAAAATTGTTATCAAGAGGGGAGAAAAAGAGGTTAAAATATTCAGTAGAATCTCACTTTTGTTACTCAGAAAAAAGCATGTATGTAAGCATAAAAAAGGATATTTAATAAAGTAGCAATAATCATCTATCAATGAGCAGGACTATGGGTTTTTCTCTAGTTTCTTTAGGTAAATAGTCCTCTCACAATCATGGCTTTTTGTGTTTTCAAAAGTCATCATGAACTGATTACTTTACATTTCACTCCAGCAGTGCTGGCCTTACTAAACACATACACGTGCGCGCGCCATGCGTCCCACACTGACATCAGGAACTATGGTCAAGAACATTTCAGGGAGAAGCTGCTTGGACAGGAAACAATCTTCTGAATATTAAGCAAGGTCTACTGGCCCACACCTGCTGTGAGCGAACACTGTCAGCAGTTTTGCCTCTGGGTCTCCGAGTTGTAAAAGCCAGCAGTTTAACGGCAAACACATACTCTATTCAGGTTAAGGTGCCACAGATCTATGAAAGCATGGAGACACCCAGACCTTGTTTTGCGGTTGAGGTGAGAAAAGGGCTTGTTAAACAGCCCCTTTCCCAGAGGGAAGTTACCTTTCACCCACTTACCCCTGCCCTCAGAAGGTCAAAGAGCACCTCTGGTTGGAATCCTAATGCTTCGGCCTTAAGAGACCAGCTCATTTGCTGCTTTGGTTACTCAAGACAGCACCTAGGAATCTCACCTCATAATCTTTCCTTGGAAGGATCTCATCCTCCTCCTCCTGGGTTTCGCCAAGGATGGTCTAGAAAAACAGATCCACAGAAGGAAGACCCTTTTAATGATTAAAAGTGAAAGGAGGCAGAAGTGTTTACTGAAATCAGTTGCTAGCTTATAAATCATCTGGAGCCACTATCATCACAAAACAAGACCTCACTAAAAAACAACAACAACAAAACTTTTGGGATAGGGGGTGATGTGGGTGGGGGTCCAGTTGAGCTCTTCAGTTCTATTGATACACTCTCCAAATAACCAGTCCTGTCTTCGGAACACGTCAAAGACATTCATTGCCAGCTTAAGGGGGAGAAAAAAGCAGATTCCATCTGACAATGTGCAGAATCTGATATTAGAAGGGACCTGTCAAATCGGAGGACACAGCAACTCAAGTTTTCCCAGGGTGCTTTGCAGGCAAAAGCTGGATTGTCAATGACCCAGAAAGGGTTAAGGATAGAGTGAGAAAGAGCTGGAGAAATTAAGCCAGCTGCATGATAAACACAAGGTCTAGTGAAAGGGCTCATTCCGAAAATACTTGTTTCATTCAAAACTCCTTTCAGAGGGAAATAAAACAAATATATATGGGATTAATTAGAGCTGGCCTGGATTCCTTCTTAGATTCCAGGGCGGAGTTATGAGAAAAAGACTCCAGACTTGGGCACGCAAATCAGGGCAGAATCTGAAAGAGCACGGAATGCGGTCCCTACCTGCGTGCTCAGCTCGACCCAGCCCCACCTCCGGCAACGCCTCTCACCGTCCCTTAGCAACCGGCCCTTCCCCTGCCCGGCTCCCCCAGCTTCTTACCAGCTCCTCCGGAGTACGGGTCTCACGCTCACCGCAGCAGCAGCACCACCTGCAGCAACAGCACAAGGACCCCCTGCACCCCGCCATCTTCCTCTTTTACTGCCACTCCGGACCCCTGTGCCAACCCCCTCCCACCCGAGATCTGCGCCTCACGTGACTAGCCCCTGGAGGGTCACGTGGCCCTCTCGAGCTTGGGGACCAGACGTGGAGTGGCTGCAGACGGGTGGGACGAGGGCCCGCGTCACATGACGGATGGTGGAACTACTACAAACGGGACCGCTGGGCGCGGCCATATTGGGGGCGGAGCTTCCGGTCGCCCTCTGGTCCCGCCTCTCAGCAACAAACTCCTGCGCCACGCCCCTCCGTGCATCCCGCCCCCTCCGTACTCGCCTCACCAGCAGCTGCACAGCTGTGCCTGGCGCGCGTGCTCTGAGACAGCTGGGACTGTAGGGTGAGTGACGGTGTGGCCAGGGGTTGTGGGGCAGAGAGACCTGGCATCTGGGGATCACCGCCTGGGGCGGGGACTTAATCTGGATGCACCGAGCGATGGAGGCCGGCCTGCCTTCTCTAGATGGGGGCTCCCGCCAGCGGTTGAGCCGACCTTGAGACGGAGGTGGTGACCCAGCCCCGCCCGGGACCCACGTCCCCGCACCCTTCCATGACCCAATGACGTGGTGACCCGATTCGCAGCCCTCTAGCCTCCTAGGCGCCAGAGGCGTTTTTCGGGCTCGAGCCCTTTAACCTGCCTCCTTACCGAGCATCTGGAGAAGAGCCGTGGGCTGCTGGCACTGCTGCCCCTGGCGCCCCAGGGCGCCGGGTGCGCACAGCTATGGGCTCCATATGCCCCCACTGGCACCGATTAAGTAAGCGCTCAGTACAGGGCGGAGGGTTATTTTGAGATCGGAGTGACGGCGCCTGGCCCGTTGGCCCTCATTGCTAGCTGTCACATTACCTTGGGCCGGTCACTGGAATACCAGGATACCTGTCAAAGGCAGCATACCGTCCTGGTCTTGGAGCTCTGAGACAAACCCGCGAACCTACAGTTACAACCTGGGGCACTGTGAGAGTCCAGCTTAAAATGGATAAGTAGTGGCATGAGAAAGCAGGTTGAAGGAGAGCTGAGCCTGGCGCATCCTGGGAAGGCAGTAACTCTTCGTTGAACAAATGAAAGAAGAGGTAATTTGTCAGAGGTTCTGTCTCCCCCACCCACCTCTCTTAATTTTGTTCCAGCAGCCAATCAGTAGGCACTCTCTTGAATTCCTGAGAAAGGCTAGGGAGGCTGATCCTGACTCCCCTTTCTGACTCCCAATGGCCATCGGCACTGAGAAGCTGGAGTTTTATGTCAGAATCAAAATGGGGGTCCCTGGGGAGAGAAAGTGCTGGCCCAGTTGTCCTGAGTCTGGTCTTGGCTCTTGGACTTTGGATGTGTCGCTGTGTGTTATGTGTATTTGTGTGTGTTTTGGGGCAGAGAAGCATTGGGTTTTGTCAGTTTCTCAAGACTCTAGGAGCCCACAGTGGTTAAAAGCACTAGCTTAGCAGTGGATGTTCCTTGAAAGGAATGAACTTGACTGGATTGTTCGTCTGGTTTCCACGTTATCACACACACCAGATTTCCAGGACTGTGTGTTTGCACTTAGTTAGGCAAGAGCAGTGCTTTGTTTGGTTTTTAAGTATTTGTTTTGCTTTTCCCATTAAACTGCCCACTGGCACTGTGCCCTCTGCTGGCCTGCCTGTGGTTGCCATGGTTCAGGGCTTCGGATGTTGGGGTTTCGGATGTTGTGGCTGTGCGTCGCTGTCATTACTTTAACTGGCTTCAGTGGCGTGTGTAAGTGGTGGTGTGCCTGGAAGGCAGACTTTGTTCCGCATTGGACACAAATTCACAGCCTTCCTGTACTTGGGCCTGGCTCCTTTTGGAACCTAGATAATGCCAAGTTCTAACGCATGACCCAGTCTTTTTGGAGTAGCATGAACTCAGGAGAGATCTGGCTGGTTTGTCAAGCCCGCACGCCTTCCATCCTGCACACAAACTGTTCCCAGGAACCGGAGATGTTCCTGGCAGGACCATGCCCTCCCATGCCTTCTTTGGAGAGTGACCCAGTCACCCTGAACATCTCTTGGTCTCCTCTCCGACAACCCCTGCAGTCTCTGGCCCTAGTTCCTCCTTCCCTCTGCCTGCGGCAGCTAGAGCCTCAGCCCTCCCTCTTCCCTGGAGGCCTTGCCCCCGCTCCCCTCCCCCTGACTCTCTTCCTTTGTCACTGCTCCGCCCCTGAGGGAAACACCCAGCTGGGGAAGTTTCCTGTTTCTTAGCCCATTCTCGGCCCCAGCTGGCCTGGATGGAGCTTCCAAGACCTGAGGTCCTTCCAGTCGGGCACTGCCGCCCCTCCCTAGGAATGCTGGCCTTGGAAGCCGGCATCGTGAGCCTGTCAGTGCCACCCTCCATCAGGTAGCTGTCACGGAGGATCCGTGTCGCTGACGGAGCATGTTTCTGTAGGGGTGGGGGCCCTCACACGGGGAGCCGGGCAGCAGCAGAGGGAAAAGCTTTGAGTGAGGCAGCGTGGTCTGTCAGAGCTGTGGCGTGTGGAGTCAGCGGGTAGGGGCATTGCCACACTCACCCTCAGCATGGGGGAGCCTGAGTCCTCGGTAGAAACGCAGACACTCACACCTGACTCTGCCATTTGGGGGTTTGACGGCCTGCTGGCTACTGACACCCCCTGCCCCCACCCTGCGCAGAAGGAACTCAGCCATGGTGAACGAACCCGGAGGGAATGGCGGCCCCAACCCCGGCTTGGAAGGCGGCAGCAGTGGCATCGAGAGCTCCAAGGACAATTCGAGAGGTTCCTCCCTGGGGCTGGACCCCGAGCGGAGCGAGAGACTCCGGGAGAAAATGAAGCGGCGGATGGAATCTGGTGACAAGTGGTTCTCTCTAGAATTCTTCCCTCCTCGGATGGCTCAGGGAGCTGCCAATCTCATCGCGATGTAAGTCGCTTTAAGGTTAAGGAGCAGGGCCAGAAGAGGAGGTGGGGGCGGCGGGAGGAGGTGGACATTCAGTCCTGCCACTCACAGAGCCAGTGTGACCCGGCAGGAAAGGCAGCCAGAGGGGACAGAAAAGAGTAAGTGCAGGGTTGGTCGTTTGATCTGCAGCTTCTCAGTTGTCAGTAAAAGTCCCCCACCAAGCATCCGGATTTTTAGACACACTCTTCAGTGGGTTAAAAATGTTGATTCTCTCAGCATTCCAGCTGAATCGTGAGTACAGTTTAGGACGTCACAAAGCAGCTTGGGGGACATTTTCATGACGTTAGGAATTTGGATTATGCGCCTTGAAATCTAGAAATGCCAACTAAATTACATTAGCACGTCGTGAATTATAGTTCTTTTAAAGTTTATGCCTTTTTACCATTCGTGCTCCTCATGTTTCGCTCGCAAGGCTTGGAGTCTAAGGCACACAGCCTGGGCAGGCGTGACGGGAAAGTCAGAAAGGAGCGTTGTCCTGGGCCGGGCGATGTGCCTCAGGATGTTCAAGTGCACCGTGCAGTAGCTTGTCACACAGGGCGCGGGCACAGCCAGGCCCCTTGAGTCTAGCTCTGAACTGTGGCCGTGCTTTGCAGGACTGGTGGCCGCTGCAACATAGAACCTTGTGTCTGCTGACCCCGCTTTTCCCTGTTCCTAGAATGAGGCTCTGCTTACCACACTGAGGGTTCGCCATTGAACTTCACTCAACCAAGATGAAAATAGGCAAGCGCTTTGAAAAGCCTACAGTGCTGCTCTAGCGCAAAACAGTTGCACTGTTGTTGTATATCATCTCCACAGTAACAGTAGTAACAGTAACAGCAGTTCAGTGTGTAGCCTGCACTGTTCCAAGAGCTGTGGGGCCATCTACCATACTGTCCCGTTATGTTGTAGGAACGAGGAAACTGAGGCTCAGAGAGTTTAAGTAATTTTCCCAAGATCGCACAGCTGGTAAATAGTAGGGCCAGGTTATATTCGAATGCAAGTCAATCCGATTCCAGCTGCTGTGAGGCTTCGCTAACTCCGGGGCCCTGTGGGAAGGTGGTGATGGGTGGGGTGCCCCCAGGAACCCCTCTTCAGAAAGAAATTCCCTGCAGGTTTGACCAGATGGGGGCAGGCAGACCCCTCTTCATTGATGTGACCTGGCACCCAGCAGGAGACCCCGGCTCAGACAAGGAGACGTCCTCCATGATGATCGCCAGCGCCGCTGTGAACTACTGTGGCCTGGAGACCATGCTGCACATGACCTGCTGCCAGCAGAGCCGGGAGGGGATCACGGGCCATCTGCACAAGGCCAAGCGGCTGGGCCTGAAGAACATCTTGGCTTTGAGAGGAGGTGTAGAGCCAGCACTACTCTCTGGGGTCTTGCTTTCCTGAGGGCCTCTTCTGTCCCCGAAATGGCCCTTTACTTTTCTGCGGGTCCCACACTGAGCATGCTTAAGGTCCCATCCCTCCTGGTAGCATCAATAGGCATGGCCCAGGTGGAGTCACCTCTTGACCTCTTGACCCCAGCATAGTTGTTCAGTCAGGAAAGCAGCCAGGACCTGATAACACTCTGCCCTGGCTGCCCAGCCTCATCGATTGCTGGTGGCACCCAACTCCCGGCCCAGTGAAAGCTGCAGCTCCGGCATGTGTCCCAGAAGTGCAAAGAGCTGCTTGTGCCTCCGGCCACAAGTGTGGGAGGAAGGAGCCTGAGGGGTAGGGTCGTATGGCCTGGTGCTCACCACCCCAAGACCATTTCTCACTTGAGACAGAGAATTCTCCAGGGAGGCAGGAGCTCCAAGAGGGTGGGAGGGTGAGCAGAACAGGGTTGGGTGAGGGTGCCTGACACAGCCAGGTTTGAGTGGGGGTGGGGTCTCAGATGCTCCAGGCTAAACTAAGAGACAAGCTGTCCCCTATTGTCCCCTGCTCACCACCGCCAGCCCAGTGCCCGCAGAGACAGTGCTGGGTAAATGTCAGACAGAGTTGGCGCTGTCTTCACTCCCGCTGTTTACCAAGTGCTGTGCCTGGGAGAAGAGCTGCCAGTTTGAACACCGTGAGGGCTGTGCCGTTGAGGGGTTCACGGTCCCGGGTGCAGGGGTAGGAGGAGGCACAGAACGGCTCCCTGGAGATCCCGGGAGTGATCCCCGGTGACTGTGACCTTCGCCACTCCACAGACCCCGTAGGTGAGCAGTGGGAGGAGGAGGAAGGAGGTTTTTCCCACGCTGCAGACTTGGTGAAGCACATCCGCAGCGAGTTCGGTGACTACTTTGACATCTGTGTGGCAGGTGAGTGGCTAGAGTGTCCCAGTGGGTGCGGACAGAGAGGGAAGGAACGAAACGCCCAGAGAAGCACACCTGTACGTATTGAGGTCAGGGGCCAGGGGCCCAGTGTGCCGTGGGCCTGGGCCTGTGCTGGACAAGGGCGGTGCGGAAGTGAACTGAACGAGGTCCTGACTCACATTCTGCCATCGCTACCCGCCAGGCTACCGCCGCGCCTTAGGTGTTTCTCTGCCTTTTCCTGCTCATAGGCTGTTTCCCAGCCTGTTCTTCTTCTTTATGACAAAAGAGGAACATTTATTAAGAGGCAGAAACTCTCAGAACCTAAGGTCAAGCATTGACCAGTATGACTTATTTACTTGGGTGTGGCTTTTTGCAAAGCGAAAAGGTCGCCAGTTCAATTCCCGGAATGGGCACATTGCCTGGGTTGCAGGTTCGGTCCCCTGTTGGGGCACGTGAACCCCTGCCTTTGCCTCCTGCTGCACATCTTGCACATCTGCTCCTGAGGGTACCTGAGGGTCAGTTCTAGCTAATAGCCCAGACTGATTGACAGGCCTCGATGGCAATTCCAAATTCCCTAGAGACAGAATCAGATGAGCTCAACTCTAGGACCACTGGCTACAGCTGGAGGCAAGGTTTCCCCATGAGAAATGGACAGGTGGCCTTCCCCCAACCCCCACTAATGGGGCTGGGCCTCCAGCCTCTCACATCAGGGCCTGGGTCGGGGGAGGCAGAATTCTGCGGGTTCATTGGCACATCAGCTTGGCAAGATATTTTTTTCTCAAATATTTTAGGGGGAATGATATTTTTTATATTAAAACAAAGACCGCCGTATTATGGAGCAGTGTGTCAAAGTGATCTGAGCTTTAAAAAATAAGCCACGCGACTTCAAGGGAATTGCTCGGTGCGGGTGACTTTGGACTTAGTCCCACGCCCCATGTCCAGTTCCACTCTGCTCTGTCACCAGGGGAGTGTAGGCGGGTGCGTCTGGGCAGAGCCAGCAGCGTGGCAGGCATTTCTGAGTGCTCGCGCGGTCACTGCTCGCGCGGGCCACGGCGCAGTCAGCCAGTTGGGGAGGGTGCGCATGGGCCAAGGGCATGAGACAGTAACGAGTGGAAGCCGGCAGAGCTGTGAGCGTACAGTTGCTGTGTGGTTTCGCACATGGCTCCTGATTAAGTGGGTGAGAAAGAGGATCAGTGAGTCGGAAAGCACCAAGCCGGCCACAACAGGAAAAGAATATAGTGAACCAAGCAAAATCCAACTGCAAGCAAATGCTAGATTTGTTTGGTGATACTGAGGTTTTATAGCCATCAAGTTTCAGCTATTAAAACCTCTGTTTCTGAAATTCCTACTTGGAAAAGTATAATTCTGGCGCTTAATCCTCCCATACCTCACCTCTTCAAACAATAGTTTTTACACCCACTTTTCACGACTCAGGGTTTCTTAACGAAAATGCCTTATCACAGAAAAGCAGCTTGGCTCCCCACCAGCCTGGGTCCCCGGTCCGCCCCCTGCCTGGCTTGGGGTCCTGCCCTGGGCTTGGGCTGGGGAAGCCGGCGTCCTGCCTGCCGTGTCATTTGAGCCTGCGGTCTTCCTGTGCAGGCTGGGCCAGGAGTGAGTTCAGGAGACGGGGCCTAGGGTCCCTGGAGCTAGTGAGGAGCCCAGGGCACATCTGCTCCTGCCTCCAAAGCAATTCCAGAGTCCACTTTGGCTGCCCTGGTGTTTTCATGCTCCAGGAGCTCGTTATTTTGTGGGGCTGCTCAGTCCAGCGTGAGGCAGCCTCTGAAACTGATTGTGGTTCTTCCGTCAGAAGCACCAGGGAACAGGACTAACAAGGAACTTGACTAAGGTGAATACTTTTTCCTCATGACAGACCTTTGGCCATTTAGAAATAGGAACCACATCCTCTTCATTCTTTGCTTCAAGCACAACATCTCCACTTTCTTCAGTTCCTCCTCATGTAACATGGTGTCTAACTTTTCACTCTCTTGGACCTCTGAGTAACCTTAATGTTACGTTAAAAGGGCTGCTTTAACCCAGTGCCTGGAGTCCAGCTCAGTACAGGCACCTCCTGACTGTGCTGAGTGCAGCATTTTCTCTCTTCCGTAGTCACGAAGTGCAGGCCTGGTTTGCCTGGCTGGTTGCAAGGCACACAAGGTAGGACAGTGCGGGGAGTTTGGAGCAATCTGCTCCCCGCCTCAGGAGGGCGGCTCTCATCAAAGGTGCCCTCCAGGCCGAGGGGGCATATCACGGGTTGCCACTCACCGTTGCCACCTGGCCGGACTGTGGTGGTGTAAGGTACGCCTCCGGAGCCGTGGAGGAGGACTGTTTCCAACTCCCCGATTGATTTCTTCATTACCCCCCTGGAGCAGGTGGAGCCAGCCTCTCCCTACTGTCGTCCCTTTGACAGGTTACCCCCAAGGCCACCCTGACGCGGAGAGCTTTGAGTCCGACCTGAAGCACTTGAAGGAGAAGGTGTCCGCGGGGGCCGACTTCATCATCACCCAGCTTTTCTTTGAGGCTGACACGTTCATCCGCTTCGTTAAGGCTTGTTCCGAGGCAGGCATTAGCTGCCCCATCCTCCCCGGAATCTTCCCCATTCAGGTGAGGGCCCCGGGACAGCTGGTGGACTCCTTCCACCCCCCAGACCCCACCCTGTCCTTGCACAGGCTGGGACCCAGGGTGAGGCGTGCAGTTCATGGTCAAGGTCTTTGACGCTCACTGAATTTCCTGGCAGGTGCTCCTTGCAAAATATTGACTCACCACCCCATGGTGGTTGCCTCTCATTCCTCCCCCCAACCCCCCACAACAGCAGCAGTACCTGTTGGAGGGGCTTGTCATACTTTGGCTCACTGACAAGTGTCACTACAAGGGGTCATTATAACTCTCATCCTAAATTTTGATTAAATCAACATCTCCCAAACTCGGCTATCGTCAGAATCATTTGACAAGCTTTTTCAAAAGTTGAACTTCCAGATCCCATGCCTAGAAGTTCCGATTTAGTAGATCTGAGACGGGGCCTGGGAATTTGCACATTACTTCTTCAGTTTTACAGGTGATTCTGATGGCCCATGAGGTTTGGGAACAGCCAGGCTAAAGGGCTGGCTGGGGCCGATGGCAGGAATGCCCTGAGCTGCTGCTGCCCCCACAGAGCAGAAAAAGCGGGGCCGGGCAAGGGTCCTCGTACAGAACGGTCTGGCTCTCCTGGGTCACTCCGTGTCACACTGCAGTTGGCCAGGAGACCTGGTGGGCGCAGAAGAGGGACCAGTAGGGTGAGAGATGGGGCAGGACACGGCCCCACAGCCCCCTGGTGTCTCGGACAGAACTACCACTCCCTGCGGCAGCTCGTGAAGCTGTCCAAACTGGAGGTGCCCCAGAGCATCAAGGACGTGATCGAGCCGATCAAGGACAATGACGATGCCATCTGCAACTATGGCATCGAGCAGGCCGTGGGCCTGTGCCAGAAGCTGCTGGCAAGTGGTTTGGTGCCGGGCCTGCACTTCTACACCCTCAACCGCTGGAAGGCCACCACCGAGGTGCTGAAGCGCCTGGGCATGTGGACTGAGGAACCCAGGTGAGGCCAGCGGCCCCGAATTCAGGCCCGGGAGCCACAGAGGAGAGTCAGTGGGCAGGAAGTCAGAGTTCACAGAAAGCGCGCGCCCTGGCAGTGCCGGCCCCCCGGGGGTGCAGGGGGCTGTCTGTGCCATGGCTAGGAGCGCACTTAGGGTTCCGTTCTCAGCGCAAAGTCTGTGTGCAGCCTGATGCTACCAAGTCAGATTGAAGAACCCCGGCTCAGTGGCTTCCTCCTCCCTGCTGCCTCTGGCCAACCCTCACCCTCCCTGGGCCCATTGTCACCTAGGCGCCCCCTACCCTGGGCTCTCAGCGCCCACCCCAAGCGCCGGGAGGAAGACGTGCGTCCCATCTTCTGGGCCTCCAGACCAAAGAGTTACATCTACCGCACCCGGGACTGGGAGGAGTTCCCCAACGGCCGCTGGTGAGGCTGGCACGCAGTCCTTTGTGAACGGGTTCGATTGCTTGGGAGGTGGAAGGCAGAAGGAGTTTGCATGCTGACCTGATCCCTCAGGGACAGGAGTCCCAGGAGTGGCCCCCTCGGCGGTGTGCGGGACAACAGTCCTTCTGTTGGGAGCCCAAGGTCAGGAGCTGGCCTTGACCTCTGCGCGCATCCTCTGCCAGGGGCAATTCCTCCTCTCCAGCCTTCGGGGAGCTGAAGGACTACTACCTCTTCTACCTGAAGAGCAAGGCCCCGCGGGAAGAGCTGCTGAAGATGTGGGGGGAGGAGCTAACCAGCGAAAAGAGCGTCTTTGACGTCTTTGTGCACTACCTCTCTGGGGAGCGAAACCAAAATGGCCATCGAGTGAGTGGTGCTGGGGGGACCCCTGGTGACACCCCCGGCCCCGTCTCCCTGTGGGCCTTCCCTCTCTGGCCTGGATGCGGCACCTCAGGGAAGGGCCAAGGGCAGTCCCCACCCGTGGGCCAGGGAGGGCTTACGGAGGCAGAGACAGGCTGGGTCTCTGCTGGGCTGTGAGAGGGAGGGGCCCCGGGTGCCAGATCCGATGGCCGCCCCAGCCCGGCTCCCTCTGTCCAGGTCACTTGCCTTCCCTGGAACGATGAGCCCTTGGCGGCCGAGACGGGCCTGATGAAGGAGGAGCTGCTGCGAGTGAACCGGCGGGGCGTCCTCACCATCAACTCCCAGCCCAGCATCAACGGGAAGCCGTCCTCCGACCCCATCGTGGGCTGGGGCCCCGGCGGGGGCTATGTCTTCCAGAAGGTGTGCAGCAGCGCATGGCGCTACCCCACCTTGACTGGCATCCTGGGGCCCCTTTGTGTTGGGCGGCAGCATTCTCAGATGGGGATATGTATCGTGTTACGTGCTGGGGCGGAAACGTGGCAAAGTGCGGAAAGCTTAGCGCTTGGGAAGAACCTAGGAGTCAGCGTCTCATGGGGAGCTGTCTCTGCCCTTCTGCGTTCACACCTTTCCCCTGGGGCTGCTGGGGTGGGGCAGGCCCGGGTTTGATGAGGCCACCTCTGCTGTCTGTCACTGGTGCCGCCCAGCCACTGCGACTTCCCCGAACCTGCTTCCTCTGTGACGTGGGGATAATAGGGCCCACCCTGCAGTATTAAGGGGATTAGAGCAAATGAGTTTAGGTAAGCCCAGCTGAATCTCTGATAGACAGTTGGTGCTAGAGAAGCCCTCAAAGTCACTGTCACCCTCCCGTGGGTGGGGAGGTTGGGATGTGGCAGGCCTGTCTCACAGGCCTTCTCTTGTCAAAGTGGGCCTTGTCTCCAGTTGCTGAAGCGGCTTCTCCAGGACCTTCCCTAAGAAGGAAGAGGGGTGACAGAGGTCCCTCCGGCCTGTCCAGCTGAGAAATCCCACCTACGTGCTCCCCTCCTGTTTGCTTATGTATCTGCCAACTCCATGGTTCTCCTCAATCCATGGGGCCGCCACTAGTCCCGATGCCTTGTGTCCTGCCACCCTGTGTGTGTGGGCCCCTCTCTAGGGACGACGAGGGGCAGGCATCTGACTGGTGTCACTGAGCACTGAGGCGGCGGCCTGCAGGGACCTGGGGTGGGTGGTGTGACGGGCGCCCGTCTCCCCCACAGGCCTACTTGGAGTTCTTCACTTCCCGGGAGACAGTGGCCGCGCTTCTGCAGGTGCTGAAGAAGTACGAGCTCCGGGTGAACTACCACATCGTGGACGTGAAGGTAGGCCTGTGCCGGGCGGCCGACGGCGCTCAGCGGGTGGCACGCCAGCCCGAGGCCACCCACCGTTACTCTGCACCAGGTCCCGGGGTTCATGCTGGACAGACAGGCAGGCGGAGCCAGGCCCCGCCCCCTGCGCCCCCCCCGCGCCCCCCCCCCCCCCCCGTGCAGGGAGCCTGCTGGTGGATAGCCAGGACAATACAGTTCAGTATGGGGCGCTTGGGACCCTGGGAGGCCACAGAAGGCTCCTTGGAGGGTCCTGTGTGACCTCAGTTTTTAAAGACAAGTAGGCCCAGGGAGACCCTGGTGGCAGAGGGAGACCCTGGTGGCAGAGTGAGACTGAAGGGTTAGGCAGCGGCCGGGTCCCCCGGGGTCTCCACGGCCCTGCTTGGAGTTTGGGTTTTTCCCGGAAAGGCAGGATGGAGTCTTTCCCGGCAGTGGAGTGACTTGGCTCTGAGTTTTATTTGAGGCGGGTTACGGTGGACAGCTGATGACTAATGGGGCTGGGAACACTGGAGCCAGTGGCCCGTGGCATCATCTGAGGAGCCAAGAGAGGCGCGGCTGGGCTGGATGTGAGGGGACAGACTGGAGGGGAAGCCAGGGCAACTCCTGGGTGTGGAGCTGAGGGATGCGTAGAGAGGAAGAAGGAAACGTTGGAGATGGCCCTTAGGTTTCTGTTTACAGAGCTGGAGGGAGGGGCGGGGGCGGGGTGTGGAGTGGGGCGCTCTCTGCGCAGTGAGAGGGCTCTGGTTGTTTTTGTCCCACCTGCTCTGACGTCCCCTCTCCTCCCATCGCCAGGGTGAAAATATCACCAATGCCCCTGAGCTGCAACCCAACGCTGTCACTTGGGGCATCTTCCCCGGGCGAGAGATTATCCAGCCCACGGTAGTGGATCCTGTCAGCTTCATGTTCTGGAAGGTAAGGGGGCTGGGAGCAAGCCCGCCCTTCCCGCGCAGGAAACCCTGGACAGCAGCATGGCCGGGCCCAGCATGTGGACGGGATCCCTGCCCCCAACAGCTGGCAGACGGGCCCTCCTGGCTGCGTCACAGTTTATTTCTGGGCAGGGCAGCGGGAGGTGGCGCTGTCAGTGAGCCTCATTCTATTCTTAGAGATGCCTTATTGGGCTGGGGCAGAGGCCCCGTGGCACGGAGCCCGGAGCCCGGAGCCCTGAGCCCAGGGCAGCCCTGTTAACCTTGCCTGTGTGTCTGTGTCTGCCCCTGTGTGTCTGTGTGTGGCTGGTGTGTGGCCTGTGCATGGGCAGGACGAAGCCTTCGCCCTGTGGGTCGAGCAGTGGGGCAGGCTGTATGACGAGGAGTCCCCGTCCCGCATGGTCATCCAGCACATCCACGACAACTACTTCCTCGTCAACCTGGTAGACAACGAGTTTCCGCTGGAGAGCTGCCTGTGGCAGGTGCTGGAAGATACGTTTGAACTTCTCAACAGAACCACCTCGGAAGAGAGGGAGACCAGCGCTGTGACCCCACACCCTGACCCCGCATCCTGACGTCCTTAGCGTTGGCCGGTTGTGTCCCGCCTTTCTCCTCCCCAGGACTGGCTCTCCTGGGGACCCCTATCTTTGTCCCTCCCCAAGCCCCAGCCTCCGCCCCCCGACAAACAACAGAAGCTAGATGGGTGTGAGGCTTCCAGGCTCTGGCTGGGCCCGAGTCAGCCCGACATGGGAGCCTGGTGCTCCCTGCTCAGCCGGGAGATTTTGCCCTTCTGTGGGGAGCGCCCTCCCCTTGCTGCAGAGGGCCACGGTGGGTGGGGCAGCGTCCGCACTGAGAAGGGAGGAGACCAGTTGCTGCTGACTGAGCCCTCCGCCGGGAGCCGGCCTGACACCGCCAGTGACCTGGCACTCGGGCCTAGGGAAGGTGGGCAAAGGGACACGGGCAGCAGGCACTCGTGGCGCCGCCAGAGAGCTGCGACAAAGTGAAGATGTTGCCCCCTTCCGCCGCTGAGACATTGGCAGCGGGCACTTCCTGCTTCCGACCGAAGAGGCAGACACTACCCTGGTGCCAGGCCCCTGGCTGGGCCTGGGGCTAAGACCTAATAACACAAGCATTTCTTGCCACCTTCTACCTGAGAGCTCAGCTGGGTTTTCACCTTTCTGCAATGCTGCTTTTTCAAACAGTTGTCTCTGTATTCTGCTGGCTCAAGAGATAAAGTACATCTGAAGGTGTCTGAACCTTTGTGTGAGGGGCAGCCCCCGGCACCTTGCCCATTCCCATCCCCCCCGCCCGCTGCCACGGGGGGCGAAGATGAGGTCCCTGAGCAGCGCTTATCTGTGCCCTCTGTGCACCCCACCCTGGAATCTGCCTGGCACTGCTCCCCAGGAGTTGGCCCTCGAGTCCCACTGCCCAGGGTGCTGGCCACCAGGTGCACATGGGCTGTTCCCCGCCCCCGCCTGCTGGTTCAGTGGAAGGAGGGTGGGGGTGGGCATCCAAGGAGCAGCCAGTCAGCACATCCCCTTGACTTCCCTCCGGGCTGGCGGGCTGGGGAGCCAGAGACGCAGTGGGGCTGAGGAGGGCGTTCTGTTGTCCTCTGGAGCCCCCAGCCCTCTTCCCTCCACTACAGGCCGTGAGATGAGCGCCCTGTGGCTGAGGGCCTGCGCTCCCGGGTCAGGGGGGCGCGGTTCCTCCCCAGGGGGACTGGGCTCAGGTCTGCACTTGATCTTGGCCAAAAGGCCCAGAAGCGATGGGCTGAGTTCTGATATTCTTTCCAGGGCAACAAGGCACAGCTGCAGCTGGGCCCCTCCTCCACGACCAGCCCCCCCACACGGGGGCTCGGGCAGCTTCCAGCCTGCCCCCAGGGCTCCTGATGCCCACCTCGCATGGGGGTCTCAGGCTGTGTGCTGGTGGCTCCCCGGCTCTGGTGCCAGGCTCTGGTGCCACTTCCCAAAGGCCTGGAACCAGGGAGGGGAGAGGAAGGGCTGCTCAGCTCCCTCCTGGGCCTGTGCTGTGTGTGCCGGGCTCACACCTGTGCCCAGCCACCCCGTCCCTTGAGGGGATGAGGTCCTTCCCTCCTCCCCAGGTGGGTAGGCTGCCAACCAGCTCGAGGCCAAAAGCTCAGAGTAGATCTGACTTGTGACCTGGGAAGCCACGCTCAGGGCAACAAGGGGAGGGACACTCAGGGACCATACCCTGCACAGCAGGCCAGGACGGGTGAGTGGCCGCTGTGTCACAGGCCAAACTTGTTCCCAGTCGGAGTGACAGGCAGGACGGGGCTGGCTACGTGGCTACAAGCTGGACTAAGGGCTCCAGAATCTAAGTGGCTTGCTCTAGACTAACTGACCCTACCCTGCCTCCCCGCCCCCCAGTAAAAGAAGGGGTCCCGGGGGGGCAGGAGGAGAGGCTCTGCAGCTCAGAAACGTCCAGGTGGGGCACTGGTTTTGGGAGGGCCTGCTGGGGGCCTGGGGGCTGCCCGATCGGTACCTGAGAAAGGACCCAGCCGTTGTCTTGTTGCTGTAATCGCCGAGCCAGCTGCAGCTGCACGACCCGCCACCGCCACGTCCGCCAGGCCCATCTCAGGTGCCACTGCCTGAGCTGTGGGGACAGGGGGTTGGAAGACCCCAAGCTGGGCCCGCTGCTGCCTCGGGCACCTGCGCTCCCTGCAGCCACCAGCCCCTCTGTGGTGCTGGGGTGAAGGGAATGTGACAAGAAGGGTGTCATCTGAACAAGGCAGGTTCCTGGGCCTGTCCGCAGGTTGCAGACTGAGTACCTCTGAAGACCATGCTTTGAAAGGCTTCCTTCTAGGGGTTGAGGTTGAGACTATGATGAGGTAGGGGACGGGCGTGAGGCTGGGGCAGGGCCTCCCTGCTCACCAGTGACCGCGCCAGCTCCTCCGCCCCCTGAGCGTCCACCCAGCGCTGCCACGTCGCCACCAGGCGCCTGGCCTGCTGGGAGCCCTGGAACAGGCGGAGCAGCGCCTCTAGGTGCCAGCGTCGCAGGTACTTCCTCCTGGGGGCAGGGGGAGAGTTCCTGTGTGCATCCTGATGGTCGAGAGCACCATGACCCCTTCAGAGAGGGCTGAGCTGTGGGCCTGGGCCGGCTCTTCCAGGCTCCTGCAGGGATGAGCACTGGCCGGAGAGGCCCAGCCCAGGCCTCGCTCAGGCAGGCCCATGGCCCTGGGCCCCCACCCCACCCTCTCCACATGACTGCTTACCCCAGCCACCTCTTATCCGCCTGGCCTTTGCCCAGGAGGCCGCCGGCCTCAGGGCTGCAGTCCCCTCCTCGTCCTGCTGGGGGCTGGCCCTGGGCCCAGGGGGTCAGTCTAGGCCATTGCATCCAGAGCTGGACGACACTGTCGCCTAGAAAGGGGAATCGAGTCAGACAAGGTTGACACACTCGTCCAGGAGGGCCAGCTCCCCACTTGTCTGCTCCTAGAAGTTGAGCGCACAGAGCGGGGTGAACAAAAGGGGCTGAGACAGGCAGTGTGCCCCCACTTCCACCACACAGGCTCAGCCGCCAGGCCGTGGCTGCTGCCCTCTGAGAAAGAATGGCGGGGCGGGGGCGGGGGGTGGAGCGGGCAGGGCAGAATATACTGTTTTCTGAAAATAGCTAAGATGCTCCAGAAGAGGAAACAAGCAGGGGAAATACAGGTGAATACATAGGATGAATTTGCTGAGGGGCCAAAGCTCATCCCCTGGCCCTTGCGGGCTGGTGGCCCTGCAGTTCAGACGTTGTCCTTCCCCGGGGGCCGGTCTCCTTACTCTGAGCCCAGCACGTCTCTCCGCTTTCCCTCTCTCCACCGAGGCTGCGATGCTGTGTGGGGTCAGCAAGCCTGGGCCCCCTGCCCTGCGGCCTGCAGCTCCGGGCCTGAGGGACAGCCAGAGAGAAAAACCTGAACCCAATGGGCTTGGCCCTCCTGGGGCCCAGGTGCCCCGGTGGGATTCCTTTCCTGCCCTGCCCTTCACCCCGGTAGCAGGGTCTCCTACTTGTGTGGGCCCACGTGGGATAGTTCATGTGAGCATACAATTCCCCATGAGCCATGGGGCTCCCAGAGATGGAGAAGGTGCCCACGCATAGTATGACCATCCGCACACACCACCATCTCTCCCCTCCTCCCACGTGGCTGGAGACTCAAGCATCCGGGTGGATGGATTATAGCTGCCACATGGCGAGAGCGGATCTGGGTCAGGTACAGCCTATAAGGCGGGTAGGACTCTCCCACTGAAGCTTTTAAAATATTCAGTCACGTGCCTGAGGCCCCACCTCTCAAGAGCGGTCTGACTCCAGAGCCTACGCCCCCAGCTCCTGTTCACGCGGACGCTGGGCTCTCTCAGGGACCCGGTGCCACCACGAGTCAGCATAGCACCTGCTCCTGTCGTTGGGTGAGGGCTGCCTGGGCGTGTGTGTTCAAACAGTAGGAAGGAGGGGCCTAGAATTCAGCCCCCTAGATCCCATTCCCAGCACTGACTCAGTTTCTACAAGCCTCAGTTTCTCCATTGTGAGTGGGATCCCTGCCTGCCTTTGCTGTTGGGAGCAGAATGAAAGTGTTTATAAACAAACTCTGAAAATAAAATCATCTTGTAACACAGATCTAGAAATAAAATACCCTGAGGCCCCAGAATCACATTGACTATGTGGATTCTGCAAATAACTAAAGCTACATCCTATCCCTTCCGTTAAAAAATATTTTTTTTCTTTTTTTAAAGATTTTATTTATTTTAGACAGAGGGGAAGGGAGGGAGACAGAGGTGGGGAGAAACATCAATGTGTGGTCGCCTCTCATCCCCTAATGGGGACCTGACCTGCAACCCAAGCATGTGCCCCAACCGGTAATCAAACCAGCGATGCCTTGATTCTCAGGCCAGTGCCCAATCCACTGAGCCACACCAGCCAAGGCTAAAAAGAAAACAACTTTTTTCTTAGATGCTCTAGTCTAGAGTTCATTAGCTACTTCTTGGCATTATGAAATAGGACTCATCATGCCAGTTCATCTTTAGGAACATTATGTGGCCTTGCCAGTAACTGTGGGACTGTGTGTCCCACAAGGACATATCCCTGGACTGCCATGCACTGTCACTTCCTGTGCCTGGCTTTCACTGTGGTCTCTTCCCTCCTGCAGGCCATCAAGCTTTCGCCGCCATTTGCTAGTCTCAGAACTAACTGCTTTTGGTCTGGAGGGTCTGGCAGTTACCTTTGGGTAGAGAGTGTTATCAAAGAAAATTTCTTTGTTTATGTTTCTTGTGATAAGCATGCTTCATTTTTCCAGTTAAAAAAAAAAATTGCTACAGTCCTCGTATTCCTATCCTGATGCTAGACTGCACCATGACATATAATGAGATTAGGTGGCCTTTGTCTTTGCGGCAGAACTAAGCTGAGGTGGCACTCAGTAGGTGCCCAGTAATGTTTGGCTGATGGACCGAAGCTGGTTGTCTTCCAGGGCCAGGAGGCTGTCTGAGAATGAGGGAGGGGTGGTATCCACAAGGCTGCGGGGCCCCTGCAAAAGCTTCCAGCCACGATGGCCACCATGAGCCACAATAAGCTGATTCTGAGGCCACTGGCCCTCCTGTCATTTTTGGACTTCCTACTGCACCTGGGCCCCACCTCACCTGCTTCCCTGGGTCTGGAGCATCCATCAGCACCAGGAAGCGTCCTCTGCTGGTCAGCCTGGGCTGGGCTGGGCTGGTCTCCTGGGCCTCCTCCGTCCATGGTTCCAGCCACACTTGGAGCAGCGCTGTCCGCCACTGGGCCCAGTGGGTCCACAGGAGTTGCCTGTACCCAACCTGCTGGGACTGGGTGATGGTGACCCGCTGGACATGGCTGTGGGAAGCTGACTGGGCCCAGGCCTCTAGGACCCTGGGGGAGAGGGAGGAGGCCACACCCAAGGCCATCAGGGCAAGGACTCTGTGGCAGCTGCACAGAGCCCTTCCCAGCCCTGGCCAGTGCCCTGTGGTAGGAGGCCTGCAGGCAAAGCCCTGAGCCCTGCTTCTCCCTGCCACCCCCCATTCTTCTGCTGGAGAAAACAGGTTAAAATGGGCACGGAGAGCAGCAGAGTATTACACAGCATGGACAAGCATCCTCTTTAGAGAAAGGACTGTTCTCCCAGCTACACTCTACCTCCCCTTTCCTCATAGGAACCCAGTTTACTGAGCACCTGCTGGGCCTGTGTCTGGCCCTGGCTCTGAGCTGAATGTTTACATTCATTATCTCTAATCCCTGGACCATTCTGCAAAGCAGGACTGTTATTTTCCTTTGACCTTTAAAGTTAGACTTGCCCAAGACGGGTCACACAGCTGGCGAGTGCGGAGCTGGGATCTGACTCCAGGACTAGCTACAATGACCAGGATCACCTCTCCCTATCACCCTCCGCATCCTGAGCCCCGGTACCAGCTACCAAATACCCACTACCCCTGCCCAAAACAAGCTCAAAGCTCAAGCCGCAGGCACAGGGCAGGGCTGCCCTTGGGCCATGGGAACCCACCTGGCATTCAGCTTCTGGGCAGCATGGACTTGGCTGAGCCAACGTTGGTGGGCCTCAGGCACCCACAGTGTCCAGCACAGGGCCACCCGGGCCTGGGCCCAAGCCCTCTCTTCGGCCTTCTGGTGGGCCTCACAGTGCTGGCCCAGGGCCACTCGCCATGCTACAAAGGCCTTCTGGGCCCGGGCTCTCCTCAGCTGCCTGTCTGCCCAGCCACCCAGCAAATGGCTTCTCCAGCAAGCAATGGAGGCCCAGGCCGTGCTGTGCTCCCGGGTGCGGGCTGCGGCCACTCGGGCTTCCTGCCACATGGTGAATGCAGCCCCCAGGGCTCTTCTCCTCAGTCCATCCTGGAAGGCCTGACACTGGGCCCGGAGCATCCCCACGCCTCTCAGAGATCCATACCAGGCCTGGAAATGGCTGCAAAGTGAGCAGAGCAGGGGCCCAGTGGCTATCACAGTCCAAACTCACATTTACTCAGCCCTGACCAGTGTGGCTCAGTTGGTAGGGCGTTGTCCCATGGGACTCCCGGTTGCAGGTTTGGGACCCTGTTAGGGGCGTGTGCAGGAGGCAGCCAGTTGATGTTTCTCTCTCGCATCCACGTTTCTCTCCCTCTCTTTCTCCTGCCCTTCCCTTCTCTCTTAAAAAAAAAAAAGTCACATTTATTCAAAATTACACCCATAATCTCCCTACAAATTCTTACAGGTTATACACGGTTTCATATACAACTCTGAGCCTTAAAAATGAAGGGAACAATGTGTAACAGGGAAAGCGCTGGCTTTCTTCTGCGGCCTTGGTGCAAGAACCAGAGGGAACCCAACAGCTGTGAGTTCAAGTCCCAGATCTACAGGTGGACAGCTACCCCTGCCTCCCCTCACAAGCCTGCCTGAGGCAGGAGGTCACTGAGGGGAACAGGGTCCCCCATGCCCTGAGGTCAGCCGCTCTGTAGTCAGTAGTGGGCTGGCTATGGGGACATTATGAATGTCTGCAAATTTGTAACTTAACAGCAGGAGGAAGCATCACATGTGTCCTCTGCTTTCTGTATTTTTGTTTAATTATTTATTTTTGAGAGAGCGAGAGAAACATCAATTTGTTGTTCCACCTATTTATACATTCATCGGTTGATTCCTATATGTGCCCTGACTAGGGATCAAACCTGCAACCTTGGTGTAGTGGGACGAGGCTCTAACCAACTGAGCTACCTGGCCTGTGCTCTCTGCTTTTAACTGTGCGTCGATGAACTATATGCATGTTTTACTAGCACATCTCTATTTGAAGTTTCACCCTCTTCTTTTGGCCCCTATGCCAACTCCTCAGACAGCACGGGTGTTGGGACACACGTGAGGGTGGATGCTGAGGACTTCATTTCTCCGTCCTAATTGTAGCCTCTGAAACCGAAGTCCTGACCTGGACGGGAGGGCGAGCGAGGTGGGAGGAGGGGCTTGCCCTCCCCACCTCCTGCACAAAGCAGACAACTGAAGGAGTGGTCATAGCTCTATGGCTCCAGGCGGGGGCCTCCCTTCACATACCCTCCCCCTTTCCAGGCCCCAGGCCTCCAGCCTGGACTCTCCTAGAGCTGCAGGCACAACCCAGCCTCCTGTCCCCTGGGCTCTCTCCCTGCTTTTCAGGGGGTAGGGATCACCCTCCGCTTCCCCGTGCCAAGCCCACCCACCCACCTCTGCAGTAGGAGCCGCTCTGGCCTGGCCGCCCTGTGTCCCCGCTGAGCTGCCGCCCGCTGCCAGCTCTGGAACACGGCCCTGCGCAGGCCCCGGATGTGAGCCTGCACCCACCTCTGGTACTGTTCATGCAGGAACTGCTGCCCTGTGGCCGGAGAAACGCTGGATGCTCATCCTGGCTTCACCCCTGGGCCCTGGGTGCCCACGGGCCCCTGCTAAGCTGGCCCTTTGTCCTCTACCCAAGTGGAAACAGAAGAGGCCATCCTAACTGTCTGGCTTAAAACACTGTGGTTACAGGTGTCTTACAGGTGACCAGGCCAACCCAACTCATAGAGATTTTTGGCTTTTAAAAATTTCTTGGCGACATTTAGGAATCTTGAGAATTTCATAAAAACCTAGATTTCCAGGTTTTCTTTAAAAACCAGAAGGTCTGACAACACTGGGCCAGCTCTCCTGGGCAACTGGACAATCGGGCTGGAGGAGCAACTGTTTCCTGTGGCTGGCACATGAGCTTTCCGGAGCAACAAGTCCCCTCCTCCAGCCCATTGAGGATGTCTCGGTGTAGTGGGACACTTCTCAAACGCTCCCCAGTGACCCGCACCTCCTGTGCTGGGCTCTGAGGGCACCGTGACACAGTGCTCTGACCTGTGCTGCTCGAGAGCCAGGAAAGGAGAACGAGGAGGAAGATGAACAAGAACCTATCAGCAGCTGGGTTCTGAGCCAAGCTTGTGGGTGGACTGTCTCCTAGGAGCCCGCAATCTCCCCCACCCCATGAGGTGGTACAACTGTTACCTTGAGTCTCAGATTGAACAACTTGTTTAAAGTCCACAGAGCCAGGGAATGGAAATGGGGACATGAACCTGGGGACCAGTGTCCATGCCCCCAGGTCCTGTTCTGCCACCCTGGCCCTGGTGGTGCCCTGTGGGGACCCTGTTGTTGTTGGACTCTGTGTTGGAGGATCTGGACTCCTGGGTCCCCCGGATGGACCCCGGCCCTCCTTCCCCCGGGTGCCCCGCCCCAGGCCCCCACTCACTCTGCCAGCGAGACTGCCAGTGCTGCAGCGCATCTCGCGCCCGCCTCCGGCCCCGCTTCTGGGCCCGCTGCTCTGCCTCCTGCTCCTGCTCCAGCCGCCGCCGCCACAGGCCCAGTGCGGCCCTGCAGCTCCGATCCCAGGCCCAGCGGGCGGCCAGCTCTCTCCGGGCCCCTTGGGCCGTTGCCCAGTGGTGCCAGCTGAGGAGGACACTGGGAAAGGGAGTGTCCACCTTGAGGATGGCCACTGCCATCGGGGGCCAGACCAGCAGGGTGGGGGTTGGGGTGACTCCTCTCCCTGTTTCCATCTTGGGGGAGAGTGGGTTGCTGGGGGCTGGAGCGCTGAAACACTACTCCGGGGGGCCCAGTGACAGGTGACAGGGATAAGAGGGGATCCTAGCCCTCCAAAGCCAGGTCCTGCACTCAACCCCCCGTGATAAACATCGCCATGAATGGAGTGCTTGCTATGTGCCAGGCACTGGTCCAGGGGATGTATGTGCCCCACCTTGTTGCTCCCCATTGAAGTACTATTACTACCCCCATACAAATGGGGAGATGGAGGCACAGAGAGGTTGAACAACTTGCCCAAGGTCACACAGCCAGTGAGGAGCAAAGCTGGGATTAGAACCCAGGCAGACTGTCATAAGCACTGCGCTGTGAATCAATCGATGAACAGACCGCAGTTGTGAAATCTCTGAGGGAAATGACCGCCTCGCCCTTCCCCTGGAGGACCTGAGAGGATCAGAGTCTGGGGGCCAGCTGACTGGCGCGTGACTGGGGAGCCCTCTGGGGTGCAGACCCAGAGGGGATGCCGCTGCGAAGGTCAAGGGCTGATGGGAAAGGGGCCTCCCGGAACCGGTAAACCCACAGAGCAGTGGGCAGCATGGCTCACCCGTCCTGGGGGAGGGTCCCTACCGCCTCTGAAGCGTGTGCTGGTGCCACGGTGCTGCACCCTGGGACCACCAGGCCTGCGCCTGCCAGAGCAGAAGCCACCGCCCCTGCTGCCGCCGCCCTGCTGCCCACAGAAAGCTCAGCCGAAGGGTCTCCAGGAGGGCAGGGGCCCTGGAACCCTGGGGAAGGGGGTGTGGAGTCCTGGGTGCCTGGCCCCTGCCCAGTGTCACCCTCTCCCCCATCCCACGCCCCCATCCCCTACCCACCCTGGCCTGCTGCAGCCCCTGCCGCTCACCTCCCCCGATGAGCTATGGGCTGGGCTGCGGCCCAGCGGGGCCTCCCCTCCCGGTGGGCGGCCCAGCGGTGCTGGGGCCAAGGTGGCGCTGGCACTGTCTGACGGGGCATCTGGACCCCACACCGTCAAGTGCCACACCCTCAGGATGTGTCTCAGCATCTGCTGCTGTATGCCCTGGAGGAAGGAGCTGTAGGAAGGGGGCAGGTGAGCCCCTACGCCCCAGCCTCATCTGCTGGCCAGAGCTCTGCATCGCCGCCTCCCAGAAAGCCAGCTGCACCCTGGGACCCCTGGGGGCTCTAAGAAAGACCAACCCCAGGTCCCCCCAGGTCCCACACCCAGGGATTCTGACTCAATGGTCTGGGTGTGGCCTGAGCTTCCTGACTTTTCTTAAGTCCCCAGGATGCCTCTCCTTAGCAGCTAAAACCAAGAACACAGCTCCACCTGTGCTGATCACCTGGCTGATCCCTGACACGTTCCCGGAGGGGCAGGGGGCCCCAAGGTCCAGGAGTCCAGGAACCCCCCACTCAAGAGGCCACGTGCATAACCACACTAGTACTTCTGCCTCCACTCTGTAGTCGAGAGGCCTAGGGGAAGACATTTCCCCAGACTCCGGACAGCAGCAGACCTGCGGTCCAAACCCTCATCTCAGGCCACTGGGCAGAACAGATACACCGCAGGCGCACGTTGGCCATGCCCCGATGCCCAGAAGCCCGGGGATGGACTTGGGGTGGGGGGACTCCGTCCTGAAGGATCACACTGAACAGAGTCTCCCGGGAGTTCCAGGGGGGCAGTAGAGGCTGAGGGTCCCAGTGGATCAAATAGGTGCGGGACTGGTGGATGCCAGGTGCACGGCTTTCAAGGACGGAATTCTTAACCCTGCGCCGCTGGCTTCTGTTCCGCCTGCTGCCCTGTCAGGGAAGCTGGCTCCTGCTGACCCCACTGCTCCCCTCACAGAGAACCATCAGCCTGGGCTCTGAGTCCCACCTCTTGCTCCTGATTCACCGTGTGATTTAAGTAAAGCAAGCTGCTCAGCCCCTCTGAGCTTCTGTTTCCCTAGCTGTATAATGAGGCGAGTGGGGGCAGGGGCATACAAGGCTCCTCCACTTGTTCATTTACAGTGTTTATTTGTGCTGACCACAGGCCGGGTGCCTGCAAGGCACTGGGAGACGGTGGCCAGGAGACAGACGGTTCCCGCCACCAGGAGGCTCCCACCCGGCTGGGAGCTGGGAGGGATGATTCTAGATGCTGGGGAGGGAGAGGAGCATTAAACCAACCTCCCAATCAGGTTCCAGGCCCCTTGGTAGAACCACGTGTCTGGACCCCTGGCCACTGCATGGTCCCCATGGCTCTCTGCTCAATCAGTGTCTCAGTGTCCCTGGGTTACCTCCCCTGGCCCCACACCCGCTGGGCACCAGAGTGAACCGGGCCCCACGCTGGAGCCTCTGGAAGGAGTGGGATGGGGCCTGTTCCCTATGGGACACCCCTCCCAGGGCCAAGCACTGCACATGTGCCCACCCCTGTCCCGCCAGGGCCAACCCCAAGCCACAAACCCGTGGACACCTACTTGGCCTGCTGGCGCTGGGAGAGCCTCGCCCTCCGGAGCAGCAGCACCGGCTGGAGGGCCAGTCTCGGGCAGGCTTCCTGCAGGGAGCTGCAGGCTGGCTCCTGGGGCGGCCCCTGGGCCCGGGCCACCCCCCGCCAGGCCACGGGAGGCGGCCCCTGCAGGGGCTGAGCTGCAGACGGCCCTGTTCTCTGAGAAGCAATCAAGAGACGCATCAGCCGTGTCCCCAGGGACCTCCCTATGCCCCTGGGAACCTCGCCCCTCATGGGCGCTTCACCCTCCCACCAGCCCTAAACCCACCCCTCCAGGACACCCCAGAGATCCCATCTCCCCCTGTCAGGCTCTGGTGGGGGGCCATGTGTCCCACTCACCCCAGGAACCTATCCCTTCCGCATGGGAGATTAACAAAGTCCCTTGCTTTTAGAGGAGCTCATGACGGGGCTGAGGTCCAGCCAAGGCCGACCCATTCCAGGGACCCCTGCTGAACCCTGCCAGGCCCACCAGGCTGCTCCCCCAATTCCATCACGTCCCGTTCCAACAACCCATAATTCAACGCACCCCCCGCAGAAGGAGCTTAAGTGACACTGTTTGCTGGGGTGGGAGGGACTGCTACTTGCCTACCTGCCTTCTGCTGGCCGGGGGACAGCTGAGTCACCTCTGCCCCATCTGAGACCTGCGACCGCTTCATCCACATCCGCTGTTTCAGGCACATCCTCAGGGCTCCCATCGGGCGGTCAGCCAGGTGGTCCGGAGACTGGGCCCCTCTCTTCACCAGCCGCCGCCAGGCCCCGAAACACCTGGGAGGGCCGAGAGGAAGCGCAGGTGCTCCTGACACAGACGGGGACGGCAGCTCCCGCACCTGCCGTGCGCCACACTCATTACTCGGGGAAGCCGCCTCGCCTCCTGGGCCTCCGCTTCCTCATCCGTAAAATGGAGCTGCTGTAAGGACTTGAGGTCATCACCCCTGGGTGCCTGCAGGGCCTCAGTAGCCTCCTACCGGGCGGCCCGCATCCCCTCGTGGCCCCTTCCACCCGTTCGTCCGTCCGTGGTAACCAGGGTGATGTTTTTCAAATCCCAAACCAAATCATGGTACTTCCCTGCTAAAATCCTCCACTGACAGCCCCCTTCCATGGATGAAAGCACTGCAACTCCTCCCCAAGCCTGCAAGGTCCCCACACACCTTTCAAGCTGCACCTTGAACCACCCCTGGTGCCCCCGCCCCGTGCTAGCAGGCTGCAACTTGACCGCTGTTCTCTAGGTTTTCCCTGCTTTGTTGTCTTGGGCCTGGGCACATGCTGTTGCCTCTGCCCAATGCTCTCATCGGCTCTCCCTCCACTACTCCCCAGGCATCCTTGACACCTCCTCCAAACTCCGGTCAAGGTCAGCTTCCTCTGTTAAAAGACCTCACAGAAAACTCTGTTAGGGGAGTGCAATCAGCAAAATGCAGACAGCAGGAAACTGCCAGACAAACAATGTGGTTTCTTCAACAGATGAATTGCAAGGAAAAAAAAATTCAGAGGAGCACAGAGCTTCCAAAGACTTTAACAACTCAGCCAATTACAACATGTGGACTGTATTAAAAGATCCTGATTCAAACAAACTGTAACAAGATAGGTGCTTGTGAAACAATTGGGAATTTGAAGGCTGACCAGGTATTTGCTGGCATGGGGGAATTACTGTTCATTTTTTAGGTGTGAGCATGGTCTTGTGGTCACGTTTAAAAGAGATGGCTGGGATTTGCCTCAAAATAACATAGAAGAGGGAGCAGTTGGGGTACCTTCGAAACAAGTTTTCTCAGGAGGTGATTTTCTTGAAGCTGAGTGCTTACACAGGTGTATTATCCCACCCTCTTTACTTATGTTTAAGATAATAACGTCCCATCACTAAAGAGTTACCAAGGGGAAAAAAAACTCTTACAGCTCTGTGTTCCTTCCCTTCACAACACTAAACTCAGGTGGTCTTCGCACACACGCCTTGCGGCCGCTCATTTCCTGTCTCTCCCCCAACCTGGCCATGGGTTCCGCGTGCGGCCGGCGACAGCTGGCACTAAGCTTTACTTAGAAGTGAACCCCAGCTCCTGGGTGGTCTTAGGCTCTCAGTACACGGCAGCTGCTGCCATTTCTTACTTTGGTCTTTGTCTCTGACAACCAGGAGTCCAGAACTCAAAGAGCATCTCCCAGCTGCATCCTGCCGTCTGCCTCAGGGAAGGGGATCCCCACCCCCGACTTCTGCCTACCTGCGGAGCCACGCTCTCTGGTGCTGGGGGTCCAGTGGGGCTGCACGGGCTGCTCCTGCGGCAGGAGAGCCCCAGGCCTGGGGGAGCCTCGCCACGCTCCCAGTGCTCAGCGTGGCCCCGGGGGCCTCCCTCTGGACCCCCTTCTTCCTCTGCCTGGCCCATTCCTGCTGGCGGCACCACAGGAGGAAGGCTGGAAAGGGAGGATGAAGAGGGAGAGAGTGAGCGGAGGGGAGGATCAGGGCCAGAAGGGCCACGGACATCTGGGACCCCAGGCTGTGCGGCCTCCAGCCATTCGGCTGTTCGCACCGCGGCTCTGGGCTTCGGGTTCCCTGTGAGTGACTGATGTCCAAGGGACATTCCAGGTCTAACACCCAAGCTTCTGCTGGGCCTGCGCCAGCGTTCATGGCACACAAATCCCATACTGTGTGTCCTCGAGCTGGGCGTTTAATTTCTCTGTGCCTCAGAACCTCACCATCAATAAAATGGGCACAATGCCTTGCCAAGGTTACTGAGAGGCTCAAATGAGATCGTGTCTGGGAAGCTGCCAGAGCGGATGCTCAATAAACACTTGTTCACTCAGTACACCCCGTCCAGCCCCATCTCCCCCACTTTCCCAGAGCCCCACGTCTCACCAGCTAGTTGTTGCAGGGCCTGCAGGATCTCGGCTCTCCTGTCTCCTCCATCTGGTCTTGGACCAGAAGGTGATGGGGTTGGCCCGGTGCCCGCCTCCTCCTTCAGGCTCCCGGGACTGAAAGTAAAGTCACACAGGGAGAAACTGAGGCCCAGGGCCAAGGGAGGGAGCACGATGCAAGTTGCCCGAGCCAGCCCAGGGGTCTGGGGGGGCGCTGCCTGCCTGCAGGTGCAAAGGGGCGCTGGGCCACCCCACTCTCCTCCAGGCAGCTCGCTTACCCCTGATCACACAAGAGATCGGGGGAGGGGCTTCTGCTTTTGCTTCCTTCTCTTCAATACTATTTGCATTTTTTACAATGAACATGCATTGAAATAGATATTACTTAATAAATAATTTTAATTATTATTATTTAAAAAAATAAAAATAATAATAATAAACATTTATTATTTAAAAAATTAAAAATAAGAAAAAACATACATCACAGTAGTGGAAAAAAGGAGGAAATGAAGAGGATAATAGCCAACTTTAATCCCGCTGTTCTAGAGATAAGCACTATTTTCATTGTAGTTTTTTGGGGGGTGACGGATGAAATATTTACTCATTCTTATGTTAAGAGTGTTAAGATACACATAACATAAGTTTATCATCTTAACCATTTTTAAGCGGCCAGTTCAGTAGTGCTAAGTCCTTCACGGTACTGTGCAGCATTTTAGTAGTTTTTCCTTCTGGTCTTTTTTATGCACTGTTTTAGGTGCATGGAGAAAATATCTTAGGCACTGTTTATTTACCCTTTTTCCCCCCCATTTTACATTGTCATACCCATTTTTCCTTGTCATCAAAAATTCTACACAAATATCCATAAAAAATACTTCCAGGAAAGAGGATACATGGGGAGAGGGTAAAATTTCCAACTCTATTGGATGTTTTTTTCAAATCAAGCATGCATGACTGTCATGATTAGAACTAAAAATTAAAGATATTGCAGTGAAAAATAAAGGAAGAGAGAGTTGGGGAAAAAATCTGTAGGTCTTCGTAAATAGCATGCTGAACACTGCCAAACAACCGCCATGCAGTTAAGCCATAATTTCCTCACCCACTGGGCGTTGAGGTTGTTTCAAAGCTTCTATAAGGATAGACAATGCTGCGATAGATGTCTTTTTGCACAAATCTTTGCTCGCATCTGCTGTTTGTATCCTCATTCTCTGGCCGGCGAGGGGAAATGAGGGACAAGGAGGGAAGGCCACACTGAGCAACCTGAGGTGTCCCCAACTACCTGCTTCCCTGGGCAGGGTCCACCGCTGGCTTCCTTCTTGCGAGACCCTCCCCAGATGGTGGGGGGCCTGGCCGAGCCTGGATGTAGGGCTGCTCTTGCTTCTGCTGCTGAGTCAGGTTTCGCCACTGGGTCAAGAGAGGAGGGGAAAAGAGGGACGTTGACCACAGCTTCTAGAATGTGCCCTGAGAGGGAGCACAAGGGAGAGGCAGGGACAGGAGCCAAACGCATCTATCAGACTCCAAAGCCTGTGGTCCTAACCATTAGACTGCCCTGCCTCTTCGGAAATGCATGAATGAGAGGAGATAGAGCCCAAGAGGCAGGGCTTCCCTTGGGAGGCCGAACCTAGAGCTGGGCCCCTCTAGAGGACCCCTTTCCCAAGGAGGGAAGAACCCAGAGGTGCCCTTCCAGTACCGGCCCCAAATCACTAGTGAAAAATAGCAACCGCTGATAGAGTAGAGTGCTAGCTGTGTGCTAGGCAGGATTCGGAGGCCCTTTATTTATTTAACCTCACAACAACCCAGAGAAGTATGATGCCCTATTACTATCCCATCTTAGAAATACAAGAATAAGGCAGAGAGGTTAAGGTGCTTGCCCATGGCCATGCAGCCAGAAAGTGTGAAAGAAAGTAGTGGAGGCAGGACTTGAACTGAGGCTGAGCTCATTCGGGCATCCGGGGTGACAACCGCACGTGCCGCTGGAGGTCACTCAGAAAGCCTAACCTGGGCCCCCGAAGAACCTCCTCCCAGACACTCCGGCATTTCATCACCTCCCTGTGACCCAGCTTGGAGGCCCCTGACCTTGTGGAAGCTGCGGGCCAGCAGGGCCCTTGTGTGCCGGCTGCACGCCACCTCCAGCTGGGCCTCCCGGAGCCACAGTGCCCAGCGCAGTGCCTGCAGGCCCCTGCGCAGTAGCTGCCGGCGGCCCGGGGCCGCCGCCTCCGCCACTGCCCGCCGCCTCCGCACCGAGCGCCGCCAGGCTCTGAAGCATCTGGACAGCAGCTGCCGGCTGGGGACAGACCAGGGTGGATCCGCAGGTGGGTCTGCCCCTCAGCCCCAGGGAGCAGCTGGGGGCTCCGCAGCACCCCCCACCCCAGGCCCTTCCAGCACTGATAGGGGTGATGCCCCGGAGGCAGCAGAAAGGACTTCCTCATCCTGATGGCTTGTAAATCGCAGACCAGGAAGCCCCTGGAGGAGGCGGGAGAAAGCCTCAGCAGCGACAGCTCCCAGAAGCAGCAGCCCCCACGTCCCTGTTCCCGGGGCCCTGGAGCCCCCTGTCATCCCCAGCAGGAACAGTGTGGAGGGAGTGCCTCCCCTTGATGGATTGGCCATCAGGGGTCATCTCTGTCAGGCCCTAGTGTCCCTTCGCCCAGGCAAATGGGAGAGGAGCTGTCCCAACCCGCAGCCAGGAACTCACTGGGCGGTCTCCCATTTCGGGCTCGCATTTCGGGCTTGGTTCTTGGAAAACAAAAGGATGAGGCAGCTTTCAGGCCAAGGAGCAAGCAGGACAGGACACTCCCACCAAGCCTGCCCACCCAAGGCCTCCCTGTCTGAGGAAACAGGGTGTGACGGGGTAGTGAGAATTCCCGGGGGAGGCAGCAGCCCCCTGGAGCCCCCCAATAGCCCACTCCCAGACTCCTCTGACCTCTACCTGCAGGGCACTTCCAGCTGGGGCCGTGGCTGGCCGACAGGAGGTCTTCCTGCTGACCTGCTCCCTGGGGGCCTCCTCCCCTCCTTCCTGCCCTGGGAGGACACCCCGGGCTGCTCTGGAGAAGGTGGAAGAGCAGAGTCTGGCCTCTCTGCTGCCCACCCCTTGAGGGAGCAGGGGGTCCCCCCTCTGCCCCCTGCTGTATGCAGGCTTGCTGCCTGCCTGAGAGTCTGAGGGACCAAGCTGGACCCCGGGTGTCCCTGGGAAATCCACAGCTCCCCTGAGATCTCGGGGGTGCTTCTTCCTCTTGTCCCAGGAAGCAAGAACAGGCTGGCTGCGCTGCAGGCAAGCAGGGAGGGCCTGGCCGTCGCTGGCCCAGGGCTCCTGCCACGAAGGGACTAGGGGTTTCTGGGTCCCCCAGCACCTGGGGCTGGCCACCTTGTGCTCCAGGTGTTGCACGGACGCCAGCAGCTGGGAGATGGCAGCTTGGGACGGGATGCAAGCCTGGCTTTTGGCAGGGACAGCCAGGTCCTCCAGGGTGAGGGGCTCCCCCATGAGCCCTGAGGTCCAGTTCCCCAGGCCACCCCAGGAGCTGGGGCCCGGCCGGGTGTCCCCATCAACAGGTGCATAGTGCGCAATGGGCTGGAAACCCGGGTAGGGGGTGTCTGTGGCCAGCAGCCAGGACTGCTTCAGGGGGGAGGGTGGGCGAGCCCGTGGCCCTCGGGGTAGGGGGCTTCCCAGGGGCATCATGTGAGGCCAGAAGCGTTCTGGAGGCTCCAGCCACAGGTGGGGGCTGCTGTGACTTCCACACTCAGCCAAGCTGGCCTCCCTTATGCCCAGGTTGCTCTGCTGGACAGCCAACGCTGGCGCAGTCCCCGGGGGAAGGCCACCCAAGGGCTGTACGTTGCTCTGCCTCTGGAAGCTGGAGCTGATCAGCCGGCCAGGGCCAGTCGCGTCCTTCAGGGCGAGGCCCGGGCGGGGACCAGGGCTGGCCAGGTTGGTCTGGACTCTGCAGGGCTCCTGGCCAAGCACTGGCCCCGGGCATGGTGTGGAGGCTGGCCCTCCCCGCTCAGCCTGGCCCCTGGGCACCCACCGGCGCAGCGCGACATCAAGGCTCTGCGTCTTCAGGAGTCTCCGTGGCTCTAAAGAGAGTAGGGGCAGTCATGCCCTGGGGGCGGGGGAACTTGGTGCTCAGCGCTCAAGTGGGACAGTTGGGGCCCGCCAGGCCTCAGAGCCAGGGAGGGACAGGGCCCCAGGCTGGAGCGAGCGGGGGCCTGAAGGTCTGCCTCAGCTCTGCAGACCAATGGGCAGTGAGTGCCTGGGGGCCTTGAGCGAGCGCAGTGACATGGTCTAACTGTTCCTGGTGAGGGTCAAGGCAAGATCAGAGGCAAGGAGGCTGTGGAGGGGTCGCAGGTGAGGGGGGACTGGGGCTGGGATCAGGAGTGGCAGGGAGCGTGGGGAAGAGACAGATGTAGACCTGCTATGGAGGTGGAGGCTTAGAAAGGGACACGTCAAGCACGAGTCCCTGATTTTGAGCTTGAGCAAAGAAGTGATGGGGAGGAGGCCACAGCTGGACATGAAGGCAAGACCCAGCAGATCAAACAGCTACAAGCAAGCTGCTCTGAGGGCCCAGGGGGCGGGCCTTAGAGCCCTCCCTAAGAATGCCCCCAGCCCCCAAGGCCATTCCACCAGACACCAGGCCTGCTGGGAGCTGGCACGATGCCTGGGAAGGCTGGCAAGTATAGTGTGGGCCATAGAAGTTCATGCATAGGAACTAAAGCTCAGAGAGGTTCAAGCAGCTTGCCCACAGGCACACAGCTAGAACACAGGGAAACTGGCATACGAATCAGAATCTGAATTTGTTTGTGGGTTGCTTCACCCTTGGCTGCATCTGCTCTGTGGTCTTCTTAAAGCCCCAGGCACCTGAGCTCAGATGTTCCCTAGCCCGCCAACCCCGGCACAGGCCGACCCGTGGGAGCCCCTCCTCACCCCGGGGGCCCCAGCCGGGCCCGCTCCTGGTCCACCCTCCTCCTGACCTCCCGCCCTGGTCTCCTGACCTGCCCTTGGGCCCCAGACTGGGCAGACTCTGTCCCGGCCCCACTGACCCAACGCAGCTCATCCCTGGAATTAGCAAGGCCCTGGACTGGCCTGTCCAGGAAGGGGGCTCTAGAGGGGACCCTGCTCCTGCCACCGCCGACCCAGACCCACTAAATCTCTTGCCTGGCCTCAGGGGGGTCGCAGGCCTGGGGGGCACATTCTCCTTGTGGCTGGAATCGGGCCTCAGCTCCATGGGCTCCGGGGCAAAGCCAGAGTAGCCACGGCGTCCTTGGTCCACACCACAGCCAGCAGCCCGTTGGATCAGACGAGATCTGAGGGGTGGGAGACAGGGTGCCCTGGCTCCCACCAGGCCACACCCCGGCCCGGGCCACACCGCACCCTTCACCAGCACCCCTGGTTGCCCCAGCCCAGCTGTCCGGGTCAGGCCCCCGTGGAGTCTCCGTGCCCTGCCCCTCCCCCGCTTTCCATTGTGATTTCCCCTTGTCCAACTTCTAAAGGGGGTGAAGCTCTCTTGGTTTCCTGTCTCCCTTCTGACCACTTTCCCCCCTCCCTCTCTAAAACACTTGGTTCCATGCTCCAGGTACTTGATGAAGGAAGCGCTGGTCATGTCCCCTCATTCCTCGAAGATTTCAGCTCCTGGTCACTGACACTTTCTTCAACACGCACCTGTCTCCGTTCTGGGTGATTTCACCATCCACACCAACGGTCCTCCCGCTCCTGGCCTGGGGGTCCTTGGTCTTCTCCTCTCCCACCCTCTTGCCTTTCGCCCGACCTCAGCCACTGGCTCCCATGATCCCCGCCGGACTTTGTCGTCTGAAATAACTGCACCCCTCCAGGACTTCCGTTTCAGAGCCCATCCCTGATATTTCCAGCCCATACCCTTGAGTGCCTGATCCTAACAGCCTTTCCCTCCGCTGACCCTCCCTCCCTCCGCGATGCCCTCTTCCTTGGTCCCTTCTTGCCCGGGGATGTCTCTCCCCTCTCCTGCGCTTTAACCATCCAGGATTGCGATTATCCCTTTTGCACACCCTCAGCTCCCTCTCTCTGCCACATTCACTCCGTGAAATCACTGCGCTGTTTAGAGTGGCTAAGGAAACCCCTGCCACTGCACTGCGGCCTCCATTCAAAGTCACTGCCTTCAGTCTCAAGTCAGCGCAAAAGGCAGCTGGAGAATCAGATTCTAAGCCCCTCCTCCCCAGCCGTCTAGGTACTAATTCACACTTTCCCCCTCCGCAGCCTCTGCCACTTCTTCTCCCCACACCCCCTGGGCAGGACTTGTGTGCTACTGCACCCACCAAATAGGGCCATCAGAAGAGAAGCGCCACCAGCTCCCCCACCAGCCTCATGCCTGCTGCCTCTCCCGCCCCTCCCCCATCCCGTGTGGTCCCATCCCCAGCCAGACCCTCCCCTGAGCTCTGGGTGCCATTCTGCATCCCCTGCCCAAGGGCAGCCCCCAGGGCCGCCGTCAGACTCCCAGATGCCATTCTCTGAATCTGGGAAAGGACCCATAATAATGTCCACAGCCCACAGCTGACCAACCCACACCCAGGCACAGAGCTTGGGGGGTGGGACAGAGGCTATGTTGTGTCAGAGCCCCGAGCCTGCTCTCAGAGTCCCCTCCTGCCACCATCTACGCTGCCCCCTTCCTTACTGACTCATTCCCATCAGCACTTCAGCAGGGGGTTATTTTCTCCATCTTTAAAAACAATAAGCAAAAACACCAACTTCTTCCCTCCTCATCACACCTAAATCCTAATTCCCCTCCCATCTCCACCTCTGCTGACCTCATGGCAAATCAGCCACTCCCCCCTCCCCCTTCCCAAAGTGCTGCTTTCCTCCAGGTGACCTCCGAGATGCCAGGTCCCTGGCTGGCTCTCAGGCAGCAGCAAGACAACGGTCACTTGGAGCCTTCCGGGACACTACCTCTCAGCCTCCCTCCCTCCTGCCAGCATCTCTTTCCCAGTCTCCACCGCCGGTCCCTCCTGTTCTCCTGAACCCCCACTGTTGGACGCGCCAGGGCCTCCTCCCTTCCCTGACGCATGGACCCCAAGTGATCTCAGCAGCGTCAGACAGTCTTAGGGCAGACTCCCATCCCCGCTTCTTCGAGAATGGCAGCTTCAGCCTCCCACTGGCCCAGGGGACAATCCTGGAGCCGCCCTGCCTGCCTGCTCCCACATCACCTGCAGTCCATCGGCTAATCCCAGCTGCTCCACCTTCCAAAGGTCTCCAGAACCCAGCCCCTGCTCGCCCCCTCCATCCCCACATCCCTCGGCCAAGCGATCGCCGCCTCCTGCCTCCTGACTGGTCTCCCACTCTGCCCTCACCTCCTCCCCCTGCGGCCTATGCCCCACGGTAGCCAGAGTGACCCTGTGAACTTCGATTGGAGCATGTCCTAACTCAACTCAAACAGCCCTTAGGCTCCCCAGCCCGCTCAGTCCTCAGTGAGGGCTCCCGAGGCCCAATATCGGGGAGCTCACTGGGACACAGCCAGTCTCTTGGCTTTTGGCTTGTCTACAGCTACTTTCAACAGACACTTTGTGGCCCCCAAAGCCTAAGACATTTACTTTCTGGCTTTTAAGAAAGTGTGTTTCAGAAGGGAGGGGTTTGGGGAATGAGTGAAAAGGGAAGGGGGAATATAGTCAATCGTATTGTGATGAGTTTGCAGACGATTCCTAGAATTAGTGGGGTCGTCTCATTGTGAGGTATAAAAATGTTGAATCCCTATATTGTACACTTGAAACTAATATAACCAATACAAGAATGTACACCAACTATACTTAACTTTTAAAAGGTTTGCTGAGCCCTGCCCCAGTTACCTTACCAGCCTCATCCCAACTCCTCTTCCCCTGCTCTCTCTGCTCCAAACACACCAGCCTCCTTGTTGTTCTTCCAAAATGCCCAGTGCGTTCCGGCCTCAGGGCCTTTGCACGCGCTCTTCCCTCTCCCTGGAACTCTCTCAACTCTCCTCCAAGCCCTGCTTCACGCCCCACAGTGAGCTCTTCCCAGACCGTTGTCTCTCCGACCACAGCACCCTCCCCGCCCCTTCCTCTCTTCATCCTGCAAGATCTTTCCATGACTTAGCAGCACCTAACAGACTGAAGAAGTCAGTGTTCGCTTCTCCCTTTCCAGTGGACTATGAACCACTGGGACTTTTTTTCCACGCTGTATTCAGAGCATATGGACTAGTACCTGGCACACAATAGGGGCTTATCCACTGTGGTAAGTGAATGAGCCATGCTAAGCACCATGCCCCCTTGAGGATGCATCCTATCATTTAATCTGCACCACCGCCGGAAGAATTAGGTCCTTTGCTTTAGAGAAGAGGAAGCTGGAGCTTAAAAGGGCTACCTGCGCCCCGCCCGCCCCCCCCCACCCCCGCCCGCAACAGGTCAGTGGCTGCCGAGGGGCCTCACTCCACAGCCAGGATTCCTCACCAGGACAACCGCACCCCCACCTCTTTCCAAAGGAGACAAGACAGTACACTCCACATATCCCTTTCTACCCCCCCTTTCTCTTCTCCCCACCCCACCCCATCGGGGCTCTCTTCTGTCTGCTCTTAACCCCCCACACTGTCTGCCTCCTTTCCACTCCACTCCAATTAAGGACAGCAGTGCCTCCCTCCTCTTCCCAGGAAAAGAATTTGCGATCTGTTTTCCTGTTCTCCTGAACTTGCCGTCCAGTGTGTTTGTCTTCCTTGGGCCCTCTTTCACCCAGTTGGATTTGAACCTGGAGGGGACCTCGGGCAGGACCGCTAACGATCCAACTAGGTTGGCGGTGGGGGGCGCGGGGTGGTCAACGTCAGAGAGCGTGCCGCCCAGTATCCCGCAGCTGCCTCGAGGGCCCACGGGGCGCCCGTGAGCCCCAGCTGTGAGCGCGGCCGCCGCTGTCTGCGCATGCGTGGACCCGTGGGCGTGGCGAGGGGGCGTCCTCGGTCCTCGCCCCAAGGGTTCTGCCGCTCCCCGCCCCCACGCTGTGCTTAGACTGGAAAAGCATGTGGTCTTGTGCAAACTTCTTGCACATGCAAGGCATATAAGACTGCCTGCCTCCAAGTCCCTCCGAAACTGGCCAGAATCCCTACCCACTCCTTTCGGCACGGTGTGCTCGGCCAAATCACTCTTCCCACTCGGTGTTTTCCACTTGCCAAGCTCTTGCCCATGCTGTTCCCCCGAAGCACCCTGCCCTGCCCTGCCCGCTCCTTCCTCTGTCTAAACCCTCCTTTCTAAACACCCACTGGAAGAGAAAAGAGCAGTGGGCCCGAAGTCACAAGACCTAATGAGATCGGTCCTGCCGCTGTGTGACTTTGGCAAATCCCTGACTTCTCCGAACCTCAGGCTCCGCATCTGTAAAAGGGAAGTGGCAACACCCACTCCACTGCCCCCCTGGCTTGGTGTGAGAGTCATTTCACAAATGCCAGAAGCCTTTCAAACGCTACATCAATTCTTAAAGGAGGGAGTGATTATTGCTTCCTTCTTAAGTCCATACATCTAATACCTCCTCCTAAACCTGCTGGATTGAACCATAACTTTTCCAGCCTTTTTCTTTCAGCCTTGCTGTGTCCCTATATTTTAGGTGTATCTCTTATGAACACAATAGGGCTGGCATTTTTTGAAAAAATCATTTACAAGTGTATGATTATGACATATTTCTACAAACCATCTTAGTTTTGTGCTTGCTAGTGGTCAAGCATCATGTTTCCTTTTCCCCCTTTTTTTTGTCTCTTTTGTGCTCCCCCCCAACTGGCTTGGAACTTACATGTTCTATTTCTATTCTTTCCGTGGTTATCCAAGACATGGTAATATGGGTATTTCACTTGACAAAGTCTAAAGCTAATCCAGTATTTACCCTCCTTCCAGACAAACAAACAAAGACTTCATAACACTTTGTGTCTGGTCAACTCCTCCTGAAACCTATCATTGTCGTGAACACGAAGCCACATTTGCCATTTCCTTTGTGCTTGTCAGATCTTCCTTTTGGAAAAATGTCCTTCTTCCACAAAAATATTCTTTAGACTTTTTTTTTCCCTTGGTCTATTGGTGATAAACTCTATTGTCATTTCTCTGAATGTCTTTATTTCACCCTTATCCCTGAAAGATAACTCACTAGCACGATTTTAGGTGGACAGTTATTTCTATCAGTGCTTTGGAGATAACATTCCTGCCTTCTGACATCTATTGTGGCTGCTAAGTCATCAGTTGCTGGTGTAACGGTCATTCCTTCTAGGATATCTTTTCTACCTGGCTGCTTAGGGGATCTTAATGTTTGCATCTGGTGTTCTGCAGTTTTCCTTCATCCGTTTATTCAAACCCCATGGGGCAGGGGTCCCCAACCTTCGGGCCGCAGACAGGTACCAGTCCGTGGCCTGCTAGGAACCGGGCTGTAAGGGAAGCTCCCCTGAGCTCCACCTCCTGTCTCTCCCCCGCCCCCCGCCCCGCCCGTTCATGGAAAAACAGGTTCCTGGTGCCAAAAAGGTTGGGGACCGCAGACTTACTGGGTGTGGGCACTGTTCCAGGTGCTGAAAATACAGCAGTGAGTGAACCAAGCTCCATCATGAGGACTATGAGTGTGGATTCCTTCTTACTCTGGTGATTATTTGGCTTCCAGAATCTGAGGCTTGGTGCTCTTCTGTTTTGGAAAATTCTCTGCCATTTTCTTAAGGTCTCTCCTCTCCCATTGTCCCCTGCAGGAACTCTTGACTATATTGATGTTGGACCTTCTCACTCTACCCTTTGTTTCTTAACATCTCATATTTTCTGCCTCCTTCTGATGCATTCTGAGTAATTCCCTTCAATCTATCTTTGAGGCTACTGATTCTCTCTCCTGGTGTCCCTGTCCAAGCCTCCTCTTTTTGGATCTGTCTCTCCAGCTGTGAAATAAGGACCACCTAGGGAATCGGCTGTCATCAGTTTGTGCCTTGGAGACCCTATCTCAGAATGACAGCAATGATAAGGGGATGTGCTCCTTGCTGCTTCACCTTCTGGGTAAGATTTCTTTTGAACAAAGAGTTTGAAATAAGATAAATTTTTCAAACCACTGGGCTAGGGAGGGGCTAAGCTTCCTTCAAGTTCAAATCAGTGATTCTGCACTTAGATCTCCAAGATGATGATGCTTCCCAACAACCTGGTGACTCTTATAGTCTCTGGACTGAGAGGTGGGCACACCAGCCCCCAGCCCCCTGGACAGCTGGACCCTCGGAGTTCTGCTGTGGCCAGTGAGGAGGATCTCTGCTTTATTGCTGGCATTTTTTTTTTCACCCTTTTGGAAACTTGTAGGAAGCATTCAGTAAATGTTTACAGAATAAATAAATAAATAGATGAATGGATGGTTAGACAGTCTCGTATTGAGATTCAGGACATGCTACCCCAAAGGATGGCACCGTGGCATATTGGTCTCTTAAGCTGAAGGAGTTTAAGAAACTGACAGAAGCAGGGAGGTCACTCTCTGACATCCCATCCACTTTGCCCTCCTCCCTGAAACAGGTCCTAAGTCTCCCGTGAGAAAGGTCCCCTCTTCTATGAGGAGGAAGACTCTTTATCACCTGAGATAGGGGATTTAATGCCCAGGAATCTGTACAAACAAGCCTTGTGAAACTAAGTCTTATCTTCCTAGCTACTTCCTGATCACTACGCCTGCTCAAATTCCTTTGTCTTGGCGTTCTCCGTTGTTTGCCTAAAAGGTGTAAAAGCTTCCTGTTCTAGTCCCTTCTTTGAGTCTTCATTCTCTTGTGAAGTCTTCCATGTACACATAAACATTCAATCAAAATTCGTACTTTTCTCCTGTTCATCTATGTCAGTTAATTTTCAGACCCAGCCAGGGATCCCCGAGAGGGCTGAGGAGAGCTTTTTCCTCCCCTTCCTGTCTCTGAATACAAGTAATGAGATCTAACATTTATGAAACATGTTGCTAATTTTCAATCCTCACTAATCCCCAAGTTAGGCACTATTATCCCCATTTTTCAGATGAGGAAACGGAGGCACAGTGAGGAGACTGTCCATCCAGTCTCTTACACAGCCAGTCACAGAGGACAGTTTGGACTGAAACCATGGCTTGTGGACCCCAGAGTCTATAGCTGGTTGGAGGGAGGCTGTGAGAGTTGGAATTTCCAGACTGTTGTGGAAACTGCGGCCTGGCCTACGTGGGTAGGTGGGTGGGGCATCTGTGGGTCCTGCTGGCTCTGGCCTGGTTTGGGCCAACAGAAGACCGTGACCGCCCTGGGGCAACCCCTCCGGCTTCTTCATCTGAAAGACTCGGCTTGGTGAAAACAATGGGGTATTTGTGAACTAGGCAAGTGATTTCAGCTCTCTCTAGCAGACCAGAGGCAAGAGGAATTTGCTTCCTGTGGTTGACAGTGTCTAGAATGTCAGACACCATAAACTACACACTATTCCCAAGTCCCTGCAGAAGCTGGTGTTCTTAAGAAAAACCCAGTGGGGAGGTCTGGTTGGAAGCCCCATCACGTCAAGCGTGGCCCATCTGGGACCGAGTTCCTGGCCTGGCCCTACGCCTGGCCTTGCCGCTGCCTCCCACACACAGTGTTGGTGGCAGCTCTGGCCCTGAACCTTGCAATCCCAGATGGCCTTCTTCCTCCTCCATTCCTGAATCCTGCTGCTCTGCCCTCTGAGTATCCAGAAGCCGCCCTGACGGGAGGGTCTTCTGCAGCCAGTCTTCAACCCCACTCAGCAGTGTGCCTACCCGCCCTGGGCCTGGACAAACACATTCTCACCAACAGAGGGCGCCCACACAGCCTGTGCCCAGCTGGTCGCCTTGGAAGGGAATGTCCTTCCCTGTTTCAGCCTCAGTGCGTGCCCTTTTGCTCTGCTTAAGCACGTGTGTCACAGGGCACCTGGCCAGCCCCACTGCTGTTTCTATCTTCCTCGGGAACGGACAAGGTCCTTCCCCCTCGGCACAAGAGTAAGCAGATGTTCCCAAGTCAGATGCCAGGGGTCGGCAGCCCAGGGGATGGACGCCCATTACCAAAGCTGATCTTGCCATCTCTTCTTGGCGTAAGCGAAGCATTGTCCACCCAGAGCGGTACTTTCTCCCCAGCACCTCCATGGCCAGGGCTCAGTGGGCGGTGGGATCTGAGTCGGCCCCTGGGACTGATAACTGGGACACGGTGCTCTGCAACATATGACTACTTGTCGTCGCCCTACCTCTACCTCCCAGTCCAACTGACACTGTCCTTCCAGAACGTCAGACCACAACCAGCTCTGCCCTCCGCACTCAGTAAATGCCAAAGTCCTCAAAATCACCTACTACCCCTGCACCGCCTGGCCCCCACTGCCTTCCCCACCGCCGGCTCCAGCCCCTCTGGCCTCCTGGCGGTGCCCGAACAGGCCGTTCCCGGCTGGCCGCAGCGCGGGGCCCTTCCCACAGGCCACGTTCTCCTCTTTCAGGGCTCTCGCCTCCCAGCAGAGGGCCCGGCATGTCTGCTCCCCGAGAAAGGCCCTGGCATCCCCCTGCCGCACCGGCCCCGTCAGGCGCACTGCTTCCCGGATGGAGGCAGACCCGAGGGCGGCGGGGGCTGTGCGCTGGGCCTTGGCCTCTCCGTACTGGGGACAAGCCAGGATGGGCCACACACCAGGGGCCAGCGCTCAATGCCCATCCCTGTCAAAGTGGGGTGGGGTCCTGGCCAAGGGGCCCTCAGAGCCTCGGGACAGGCAGGAGTTCCAGTCGGCTCCGAGGCCAAGACGCGGGGCCTGCCAGGAAGATGTCGCCTGTTGCCTCCACACCCAACGTCATCACAGGCTCAAGGAGCAACCCCACTACCAACTTTGCTGCCATTTCAGGGTCCCTTCTGTGTGCATCCTCACCCTCGGGCTGGCGTTAGTTCTGGTGAGACACTGAGGTCAGGGAGGCTACGTTGCGCAAGAGCGCACAGCCAGCCAGTGGCAGAGCGAGAGCCAACTATGACCTGAGTTACTGATTCAGAGAAACAGACATCCCTGTGCTACGCTGATAGTGTTCTCCTCTGCAGGGGCCTCAGCAGGGCGGCCCCCGCTCAACAGGAGCCCCCGCCTCCTCGGCCACGACGGGACAGGCAGCTCAGCCCAGGCGCCCTGGGCACTCACAGGAGAAAGCTTCCTGGGAGTGGCAGGCCCCGCCAGGGCATCAAACATGGCTCAGCGCACACCCTGCTGGAGAAAACCCCACACTTTAATGCCACCACCCTGAGAAAGGCAGCTGGGGGTGGCGGGGGGTGTCAGGTATGGCAGACACCTCCTGCCTCCAGCCTCGGGGTTCCCAGGACCAAGTGACCAAGCAGTGAGAATCACAAGGGCCTCGGTCCCCTGTGACAGATGGCTCCTGGGGCCGAGCACAACCCAAAGCTCACAGGCCTTCTGCAGGAGGGCTGGACAGAGTGAGGCGAGGCCCGGGCGGGGCGCCTCTGGCCCTTAGAGCTGGGACCCTGCCAGCCTCAGGCGTGGCTTGGCCCGGAGCCTGCACGGAGCAGCTAAGGGTGGAAGTGAGGAGAGTGACCATGGTTCCCGGCCTGGCACCAGGGGGCTGCTTGGGAGGGGAGGCCCCGGGGGCAGGTTTGTGCACGGGGGCATTCAGGCAACACCTGGAGGGGGAATGGGAGGACACATTCCACATTAGGGCCTAGGAAGGGAGACCAGGTGCAGCCCTAGAACGGCGCCCAGGGCACGAGGAAGGCCACGCTGACTGGACCTCCCCTGCAGTTTGTCATTCTGGCCCCTGAGCTGGGGCCAGGCGCAGCTGGCTTCAGTACCCCTGCGGGGCGTGACCCTTGCCCTCCAGGCCTGCGTAAAGGTCTGCCGGGGCCTCAGGCGAGTCAATCGTCTGGTAGGCACTGTGCTCTTGGGAAGGTCCGAGGAAACCTAGGGCGGGGAGATGGAGAGAACAGAACAACGAAGGGCGAGGGCTCAGCACGTTCCACTGAGTCCAAACCAAGGCCCGCTCCACCCCCGCCAGGCAGGCCGGCAGGCCAGCGACAGTGGCCATGGCCCCAGGCACCAAGCCTTTTGCTGTGTTGTCCATTCAGTCCTCCCATAACCCTACAGAGCAGGTGGCTTCAAGGCCCCCACTTTACAGATGAGGAAACTGGGGGTCAAAGAGATGCACTGACCTGGCTGACATTACACAGCTCAAAGCTGAGGACTAAGACTCACACGCAGGCGATGTGAGCCCAGAGCCTGGGGGCCCCTGGGCCCCGGTGCCCCCATCCCCGGCAGCGTGCTCAGGAAGCCGGGCTGGGGCGCGTCCAGCCCTGGCCTGGGCAGCACAGACACCGGTCCTCTGCCCAGCGATTTTCAACCTTCTTCACTTCATGGCACATGTAAACTAATTAATAAAATTCTGCAGCACAACAAAAAATATGTATTTTTTGCAGATCTGACAAAAAAAAAATAGGTATACTTTTGATTCCTTCACACTAGATTGCTATTGATGTGTTGGCTGCTGTCATTATTTTATCTGATAATCTAAGGGAAAAGAGGTCAGTGCCCCTGACTAAATAGTCAGGCATCGCATGTTTTACAAATTTTTGCAGCGCACGGCCTGAAAATCACCGCTCTGTCTGGGAGGACAAAGCCTGGCCATTGCAGAGCCAGAGAGCTGGGGCTCGGGGCACAAGGCCTCCGTGCTCACCCTCTGCACTCTAATCCCTGCTCCGCTCATCTGTCCTGCAATCCTGAACAAGCCCCAGGGGCTCTGGGCCTCAGTTTCCCCATCTGTCCAATGGGAAGGATGCTCCTGGCTCCCTCTCACCTCAGGGCAGGCCCAGGCACTGCTGAGGTTGGTGCCCCCAGGCCGCTCCTGCCCTTGGCCCCGCGGCTCCCCTAGGCGGGTCACCACGGGTCACTCTAACCCTCTTCTCAGGAGTAAAGGCAACAGACCACACCCACCCTTCCCCACTTCTTTCTGAGACAGAGGGAAAGGAAATGAGCACATGTGTCAGAGACAGCAGGACAGTGGCTCGGCCACACGGGAAGGGGGACGACTCAGGGAGGGCGTGCAGTGGGGCAGAGAGGGGCTGGGCTAAGGCGAGAGCGGTGGTCGGCAGGGTGAGCACCTGCGTGCAGTGCTGTCTGCGGCTGAGGCCCCAGGCCCCTGGCGGCACCCTCTTTCCCATGGCCACCCAGACCCCAGGAGGCAGGACAGGGAGGCTCTAGGGATGGGGTCGGTGGGAGCCGAGAGGAGAGGTCAAGCCTCAGGCTGCAGGCGGCCCAGAGTGCCCGCAGGACTGGCGCACACCCCCAGCTGCATCCATGCAAGAGCTCAGGGTGGAGTCCTGGCCACTGCCCAGTCTGATGCTGGCGACAGGTCACAGCAGGCTGGGACAGCAGGGAGACCCCGGAGCCCCTGCAGCAGTGACCAGGGGCCGGCCCACCTTCTAGTCTGGCACTCAGTGCCCACACCAAGCCCCGCCCTGCACCCTGAGCCCTTGTTTCCTGGGGGCAGGGGCTGTGGGTGAGGCAAGGTGACGAAGGAGATGAGAGGGGGCGCGGGGAGCTGGCCAGAGGGGCGGCCTCACCAGCGTGGAGTGGGAGCACGCCCCCGCGCTCCCGGTACATGTGGGACACCAGCCAGCAGGAGAACGGCTTGAGGAGCAGGCTGAGGATGGCCATGCCGGCGCCGAAGCGCCCTGTGTCCTGGAGGTCCGACTGCGGGTAGAAGATGCTGATGTGGATGATGTCCAGGAAGATGGTGGCCACGAGGCCACACAGAAACTGCAAGACAGGACAGCACAGGGCCCAGGCATGACCATGAGTCATCCGCGTTTACGAGCACAAGGACACCCTGTCACACCCCCATCGGGCCCCCCGCCCCCTGCCACGTATCGGCCCAGAAGCTGCGTCTGAGCCCTGCCGTGTCCTTAGGGTTTGCTGGAAAACAGCTCCAGCGAGCAGGCAGGACCCTGTGGGCGAGATGCCTGACGGGGCTGCAGCACCGGAGCAGGGACCCGGGGGTCTCTGAGGTGCAGACCCAGCCTGCCAGCTCCACGAGCCCCCGCCCATCTCCTGTCTCCACCCTTGAGACCATGACGAGGCACATTTGGTTCCAGAACCTCTGAGATGGAAGGTACCTCAGAATATACCCACTGTCTCCTCCACCAAGGAAACCTCTCCTCTGAGGGCGCCAGCCACTGCCCTTCAGAGCTCTGTGGGCGTTGGGAAGCCCCGGAGGCTCGAGCCTGGCTGGGCTGTGTCCACTCTGACCTCAGAGTAGTGGAACTCTGTCTTTGTGCGCCCACCAGCCGAATCCCTCCCTCCTCAGAGAGGGTCCTGGGTCGGCGGCGGGGTATTGAGTTCTTGTTTCGCCACCCTTGGGGCATGGCCAGTCTGCAGCACCAGTGGGACCCACCCTCAGCCTTTCTGGGGAGAGACAGTGAGCAGACCCTGGGCTCTCTGAGCCAGGCGTGCAGAAAAGCGGCCAGGCCAGTGAACACCCACACACAGCCTGGGCGGGCTTATCTGCAAGGCTTTAGAAAATGGAAAACGGGGGCTCAAGGAACAGACAGCAGACTGGGACAGGCGAGAGGAAGGCGGACCAGGGACCACGGATCCTCCGCGCCGCTTCCGCAGCTCACCATGCTTATGGCGTCGATGGAATCCCGCTGAGCGACGGCCCACACGCCCAAGGCCAGGATGGTGAAGTTGGCCCAGGCATAGGGGCCCGAGAACAGGAGGCAGCCCCTGCGGGAAGGTGCCTCTGAGTCAGGTTAGCAGGTGACTGCCCCACCGGTGCCCTCCCCCTCCCGCGGGTCCCTCCCTCCAGCTCCAGGGTCTGAGAAGAGGCTGCTGTCTGCCAGGCCACTTGTTCCCCAGCTGTGAGCCAAGAATGTCAGCAAAGCCCATTGGCTCTGCCTCCAAATAGGATCCCTTCAAGCCCAAACCACCATCCTCTCCTGCTGGGATTTACCAGCCTAGCCTCCCCACTGGTCTCACTTCCACTCCTGCCCCCTTCTGGCCATCCTCTGAACAGCAACTAGTAATGTTAATCCGGTGCTATCACTCCTCTGCTTAAAGACCTCCAAGAGTTGCCTGTCCCACTTGAGATAAAATACAGACTCTGTCTCATAGCCTAAGGGGCCCTGTGGGAGCTGCTGGTAACACAGCCCCCCTTTACTTCCCTCTACAGGGAACGCCTGGCCCCTTGTCATTTTAGTCTCAGCTCAAATGTTAATTCCAAGACTCCTTCTCTGACTGCCTAATTTCTAATGCCACCTTGTCACTTTCTAACATAACACTCACCGTTTTATTTTTTAGGGTATTGCTACTAACTGATATGTTTATTTGTCCACACAGTGAAAATAATAGCTAACAACAGAGCCCTTACTAGTATCTGGTACATTTCTAAATGCTTCGAATTAACTCATTTATGTGCATTTGTGTTAACAACTCTAAGAACAAGGCACTATTATCCTCATGTTATGAGGAAATCGAGGCAGAGAGGCCAAGTAACCTGCCCAAGGCCCCACAGCTGTTAAGTGGCGGATCTGGGATTTGAACCCAGGTCACCAGGCTCAAGAGGCCGTGCTCTTATTCACCATTTTCACGGGGCTTCGACTGCACAGCAGGCAGCGAGGCGCTTTGTAAACTGAAACGACATTCACTGAAGTGTACCACTCAGAAAACTCGTGTGTGGAATGCAACCAGGCTCAGCGGTGCTTGGGGGTTTTCCGAAAGCAGGTGCTGGGGCTCAGCAGCTAGGGGGTGCGGCTGAGAAGTCTGACCGTGCCACCCTGGACGCGGGCTCAAAGCTCCCGGGAGGCAGTGATGCCAAAGGCCTCTGGGAGGGACTGCCGGCCCCTCTGACATTCTGGGGATGTGGGCCGCTTGCTGGTGATCAGCTTGACAAAGGTGCTGTTTAGTCTTGGAGTCGGCTGGGGGACAGGTGGACAGGGAAGCAGACACCTGTGGAGTCACTTACCAGGTCGTCAACAGCCAGTGAACAAGGATGATCATCTGTGGCACAAAACGGGGGTGGGGGTAGACAGCTGTGAATGCGACCGCTACGGGGCGGGGAAGGCTCTGTAGCCAGAAAACACAGGTCGCCCCTCCCGGCGGTGGCACGGGAACCAGGGTGAAGGGGCAGGACACACAGGCCAGGCCAGGGGACACTCCCACCACTGACACCCGCAGCCTTTCCTGCTTCCACAGGCAGGAGGCTCCTGTGGGGAATGGGGAATTTGCTCTGGACGGGAGGAGGCCGTGATGGGAAATGGCTGGGCGGGGAGATCAAAGAGGCTGGTATCCTGGCACACGGGCGCTAGGGTGCCGTGCAGGGCAGGAATCGGGGTGCGGCTGGCGGAGGGGCCTTGAGGGCCGCGGTCCGCAGCGGGGATTTCATCCTAAGTGCGCCAAGGGCAGCCTCGGGGGCCTCTTCTGCCAGGAAGCAACTCGGTGTGATTTATGTTAAGGGAAAAAACCCTCTGGCTTTTTTTCTGGCTTTCTCTAATATTCCACCCTTTTTATTGCCCCATATGTCCTTGAAGTAACAGTTCCCGTGACTGAAACTGGTCTCTATTACTGGTCATCGAAGGGACCCCAGGTAGGAAGGAAGTGGGGGAGGGGCAGACGCTGTGGGAACGCAGGGCAGCTGCCAGCGGAGTGGACCCTGGAGGGGAGCTCTGGGGCAAGCGGGGGGGTCTGCCAGGTCTTGGGGAGGGACAGCGAGGTGTCCCAGAGTGGGCGTACGGAAGGACAGGCAGGGAGGCAGGACCCAGAGCCCCGAGGGGGAGGAGGAAGAGGAGGAGGAGGAGGAAGATGTGGCAGTGGCTGAGGGGCAGGGGTGGCACTGAGACGGTGGGAGGCCAGGAGCCCCGAGTCGGGAAGGTCATTGGGGTCCTTAAAGGGGTGACTCAGAGCTCGAGGAGGGGGCCAGCTAGGAGAGGGGCTGCCGCAGGGGCGGCAGGCAGGGCCCGGAGCGCCGGGGTGGATGCAGCGCGGATTTGCGGGGACTGGCCCAGGTTTCTGGTCTGTTGAAAGGGCAGAAGGAGAGGTTGCCACCTGCAATAAAGAACTCTGGCTGGGGAGAGAAAAGCATTCCTAGAAGAGTCACTATTTACTGCACACCTACTGTGCGCCAGGCCTGTGCCAAATGCCCCACATCACCTTCCCTGGGCCTCCCAGCAGCCTCTGGAGCAGGTGCTGTTATCCTTCCCATCTGACAGATGAGAAAAGCGGGGAAAAGCAAGGTGATCAAGGTTCCACCAATGGCAAGTGCAAAAGCCAGAATTAAACTGTAAGTCTGATGCCAGCCCTGGCTGGCGTGGCTCAGTGGACTGAGTGCCGGCCTGCAAACCAAAGGGTCGTGGGTTTGACTCCCAATCAGGGCGCATGCCTGGGTTACAGGCCAGGTCCCCAGCAGGAGGCGTGCGAGAGGCAACCACGCACTGATGTTTCTTTCCCTATCTTTCTCCCTCTCTCTAAAAATTAATACATAAAACCTTAAAAAATTAATAAAATGTAAGTCTGATTCCTAACCTTCACACTGGAGACTGGGGACTTCAGCTAAGAAGACCCACTAGGCTGGTGAGAAACGTGGACATTTTCCACACGTCTGGGGAGGCAGAATCTGGAGCAGACGGCTGGGATACCCCACCTTCACCCCAGTGACCAATGCAAGTGAACAAAAAGGGGTCTGACTCCACAGCCCCCAAACTCAGAAGACCAGGAAAATAATTCTGTAAGAACCAACAAGCCCGACGTTAGGGAGGTCCTGAGACTCTGAAAGAGCCAAGTCTGCACATCACAAGGAATCTCTGTGATCGTCTACCTTTGTACATTCTTAGTGCTTCCTATGCGTCAGGCGCCATGCTGAGTACTTCCTGGGTATGGAGTCATTTCATCCTTGCAGTCCTCTGAGGTACCATTCCAGGGCTGGGAAAACTGAGGCTCAGAGGCAAGTAACTTGTTCAAAGTCACAGAGCTGGCCAGCAGCAGAGCCAGGATTCAAACCCAACCATTAGCCTCTCTGTCCCAAGTGAATGTGCTCATCCCATTACACAGATGCGGAAACCGAGGCAGGGAAGGCTAGTCTTCCATGGGTTTCTTTTCCCAGAGGCTTAAGAGAAGTGACCACATGGTTCTCAGATTCTTAAACATTTACTGGTTTAACTTAACACCCTGATAGCTGCTTGGTGGCCACCGTGGGGACAAGTGAGCAGAGCGGATGTGGCTCTGCCCCGCCCTCCCCAGCAGGAGGCAGTCACTAGTCTGATAACCACCGGAGGAATGAGGGATCCAATGAGGCACCTGCCCTGAAGGAAAGCTACAGCAAAGGAAAAGAAACCTCGTTCTACAACAGGGCGGCCAAGATGAAAATGGTGAGCAGGGACAGAGAGGAGAGAGCATTTCAAGCTGAAGGGACATCACCTGCTCTGTGGCAGAAGGGAAATTGGAACATTCTGGACACTGAACAGAAGCCCAAGGGACTGGAGCAGAAGATAAGAGGAGAGCAAGGGGGAGGGACAGGAAGCTGGGGGTGGGCAGGGCTGGGCCTTAGTTGGGGGGAAGAATTCTGATCTTTATCGAAAGAGCCAACCACTGTCCCCTCTAACAGGAAGCACTGCCCACAACTGGGAGGGGATCCGCCACGCCACGTGGCCAAGCACAGTGTTCCTGGTATCTGGCTTTCGGACTAAGAGGCAGAGGAAGGAGGCATGGGGACAGCAGCTCACACCACCCCCTTCGCCCCGGGAAACCAGCACCTGCTCCTTCCCGCCGCTGGCTTCTGCTCCTCCCAGGGCTCTGGCTCCTCCATCTAGACTGCGCACGCAGCAGCTTTCCTGCAGAGCCTGGCCCTGCTTCAGTGAGGCGAAGGCTGAGACCCAGGCGGGCCGTGGATCCGCGGGGGAGCCCTTGGGGAGGTCGCTGGGTATTACCTGCGAGATACAGACTTTTCCGAGAGACAGCGAGAACCTGGCTAAAGTCGGGAACGATGCCATGCCTTTGGGGAGGAGCATACCCTGGAAATACTGGAGCTCCTCCGAAGGCACACAGTCCCCTCCGTGGGACGTCACTTTTGTTTCGTAAATATTTAAGAGACTTAGCACCATCTAGTCACTCCTCTTAAGCCCCTGGGAAAAGAAGCCCACTGAAGACCAAGCCTCCTCTTCCTCAGTTTCCCATCTCTGGAAGGGGAGGGCACGCCCACCCAGGCCGACACCCAGGCCAGCCCCAAAAAAAACCTGGCCAAAGCGGCCCTGCCCTTCCCCCCAGCCCAAGAGAACAGTAGCTCATCTCTGCACAGGAGAACGGTTTGCTGGCCTTGGGGGAGGTTTCCAGTCACCAAGGGGACACCTGGGATTCTCAGGTGCTGCCACAGAGAATGGGGGGGGGGAGGGCGGGCAGGACCTGACAATATGTCCAGGGAAAGAGGAAAGACAGGCATGAGCCCCCGGGTTCTTCACATCGCGCTCGGCCTGGGGGCTGCCCGCGCTTCACCACAAGGGGTCTGCGATGTGTCAGCAGACCGGAGAGGAGGGGTCAAAGAGCCAAGGCAGCCGGGGGCGCGGGGCGCTGCACCAGGAACAGGAGCCCCCAGTTCTGGTCCAGGGACCAGGTCCCTTTGTGTCTGAGCCCCAGGTGCCTTTCTTCTCTGTGAAACGGCAATGCCTGTCACCCAGGTGACCCATGTGTCACCCCTGTGTCTCAACCACAGACCGACAGGCACCCAGACAGTCCCTGTACGTGTCCAGTTCACAAGCACAAGCACTTGTGTGGGACAGGCACCCTGTAACAGCATCAACAAGAGCAACTCCTGCTACTGATGAGGATCGGCCCTCCAGGTGTCTACACTGCCTGCCCTGTGTCTACACTGCCCTGAACACGTAAGCCACGTCATCCTTACAACTACAAGGGAGAGAGTATTAATCCCGTTTTACTTATGAAGAAGCTGAGGCTGTGAGAGATCAAGCAAACTGGCCCAAACCGTAACACTCAAATAAATAATAGAGCCCAGATACAAATCTCAAAATCGGTCTATCCAGTCCGAGCTTTTATGCCAAGAAATATGTAATGTTGCACCACCTCCTCAACCACTGGATCCTCCTCTTATCACCCCAGATGATAGCGTTTATTTTTATCCTCTTTTTACAGCGAAGAAACGGATACTCAGAGAGTTAAGAAAGCTGCTCAAGGTCGCTCGGCTACTAAGTAGTAAAGCCTGGCCTTGCCTGCGGGCCTGTGCAGCACTGTCAGGATCTGGAAAAGCGAGCGAAGGGTGGACGGAAATCTGGGGAAGGGATGGCCACGGGGGCACGTGGACCTGGACTCGGGCCCTCTGTGCGCCCCTACAGGGCCCGTGGGGCACTGGGGTGTGGGTGCAGAACCTCAGATCCGCACAGAGAATCAACACGTGGAATACGTGTGGGTGCAGAACCTCAGAGCAGCACACAGAATCAACACGTGGAACACATTCCCCCCAGTCCTGTGCAAACACGACCTGTTCCGTGAGGCAGTGAGGTCCCCGAGGGTGGCTGGGGCTAAGGGCCACTAGTCAGGGCTGCCTCAGCGGGGAATAGCATCAACCAAACATGTGGGTCTGACCCTGGACCCAAGACACCGATGCTGTGTGACCTTGGGCAAAACGCTTGACCTCTCAGAACTGCTGCTTGCTCTTCTGTCCGTGAGGGCCCACGTGCCTGTTTCACAGGGTTGCTGTGTGGATCGAGCGGTACAGGGAGGTGAAGGGGTGTCTGAAACACTCATTGCGGCGCCTACCAGGTGGGCAGCCCTGGACCCCCAGCCGTCCTGGGCTCTTAACCCTAAGGCTGCACTACCCGTGCCCCTTCCCAAGGGCCTCTTCCAACAAGGCCTCATGAACCCAAGTCTAGTCCTTTCCATGCTTGTCACAATGTCATTTCTCCCACCCAGGACTTGCCTCATGACAGGGCTCTGAGGAACTGCCATTTGTGCAAAGGGCCTGGGGCAGCTGTTCCTTCTCATCTGGCACCACTGCCCACCCTGGCTGGGCACAAGCAAGCATTCGGCCAACGCCTGAGGAATGTATGAAATGAGCAGGGAGGGGGTGGGGGAACACCGGGTGCATCCCCCCAGCTCCCTCGGGGCCCTGATCTCAGAACGTCCTGCCTAACTGCCTGCGAGCAAGGACTCAACAGCTGCCCTCCCCAGGGTGGCCAGAAAACACAGAACATCCAGTTAATTTTAAATTTCAGATAATGACTATTTTGTTAGTATGTCCTAAATATTGCTTGGACTAGACTTATGCTTTAAAAAAAGGAAATTACTCATGGTTGGTATGAAATTCAAATTCAGCTGGAGGTCCTGTATGCTCCCTGGCAGCCCTAGTGCCTCAGGGTCTCCCCGCACTTGCTTGTTTCTGACTAGCAGCAGCGAAGACCCTTAGAGACAAGGAGTCTTATTTCCCAAGTCAAGGGAGGGACCAGTTACTGCATTTTGGGCCCCAAAAGCCAGCGCAGCTCACACTTGTGGTGGCACTTGGCTGGCAGGCCTGTAAAGTTGCTCAAAAGCAGCCCCCAGCAGACTAAGTCCTCTTGATGGACATAAACTGTCAAGGCAGAATTCGGCCCTCACTAACTGGAGGCCAGGAAGGCATGCAGCTTTGAAGTGTGACCGGGTAGGTTCAAATCCTGACTCTGCCACTTAATCCCTATGGGACCTTGGCAAGTTCTTGACCTGATCTGAGCTGAAGTTTGTTCATCCGTAAAAAGACGACAGTATCAGCTTTCTTGGAAGGGCACTGTGATTAAATCAATAACCTGGCATACCGCAGGTGCCCCTCTCAATCCCTGCACTTCTGACCCCCGCCTGGTTTTTCTCTTAGCATTACGTTAGGCAAGTCTCCAATCAGAAAAAAGGCAGCTGGCATTAACCCCACACTGCCTGAAGCAGAATGAGCGTGGATGCCAGCAAACCTGGGTTGCCCTCATGTCATTTCTGCCCAGCTAACCAGCATCCCACGCCCATCCCCTTGCTCCAGCCGTCGCTCCACGCAGCTGTTGACTGGAAGCTTCAGGGAGGTTTGCCCAAGGGAGTTTGCTTACAGAGTCAGCCTGTGTGCAGTCATTGCGCAGAACACGTCTCATGACTCAAATACGGAGGATGTGTTGTAAGTAGTCATTTATCATTTGGGTTCCTTTAGTGCCAGACACCACTGGCTGCTAAATGCTTAGTCACTTTTGAGTATTCCTGGATACAGGTCTCAAAGGAGTCTGCACCAGTACCCAGAATGGCAGGTTTGGTTCAAGGTTCACAGCCTCCTGACCAAAGCCACAGGCTCTGGCCCCTCTGCCCCAAACACAGCAAGCGCAGCGGGCTGGGGCGGGCGGGGAGGAAGAGAAGAACAGGACAGGGCACGCTGAGGAGCTGAGGAGGAGGCTCAGGAAATGAAGACACCCCAGGAAGCTCAGCAGCGTTTTCCAAAGTGCACAAAGTTGGGGGTTTCTGCTACTAAGCAACTTCAACTTAAGTTCGTGTTTCTTAGGAAATAAGCATGCTGGGTTTATATATTTTGGGAAAACTACCTGTCTGGGAAATCGAATTTTCTTTACCTGACTTAGCAAACAAAGGAAGGTACCAGGGGGTGCTGGGAGACCAGGTGAAAGATCTAGCCGCTCCTTCTGTCGGTGGAGGGCAGGTGCCCCGCCTCCAAGTCCCCGCGGGCCCCTCCCCCGCGCCTTCCTCTTACTCCAGGGGAATTCTGGGCGTGTAGGCCAAAGCGATCCTCCGGGGAAGAGCGCTCACAGCTGGACGGGGCTGGCTCCGAGAACGGGCGGCCCTTTCCCTCCCCTGCCGCCTCCAGTTCCGTCTCGGTCTTCCCTGCAGGCATTTTCCTGAACCCTGCTCCCTGCCACGGTTCGTCTGCCCACCTCCTTCTCACCTGGGGTCTGTACATTCTCTTCCTCCCTACCCCTCCTCTTTCTCAAACTCCCGGCCCTCTCACCGCTAACATCCCACTTTAAAAAAGCAAACGCCCCCACACTCGGGAGACCCGCCCCGCGCCCGCCCGCGCGTCTGCCCGCCTGCGCCTTGGCCACCCCCGCCCCGCCACGCCCGTCGCCACCTTCAGGTTCACGGCGGGCAGCTCCATCCCGACCTAGGAGGACGGCACCTGCGCGACAGCCGCGGAGGCTGCGGGACTGCAAACTCCGAAAGAAAACTTGCTAACCCCGCCCCGGCCGCTGCTCCCGCTCCAACCCCAGCTCAACTCCCGGCCACGTGGGTCTGGCCACGTGACCGTCGCCCAGTTGCTAGGAGACCGCGTCGGGCTGCACGCTGAAACTCCAGTCTCCCAGCTCCCAGCTCCTAGCTCCCGCGACTTCCTGCTTACGCAGTTTCCAGGTGCGGGTGGAGGCCTCGGGATTTCTGTCGCCAAGGGCTCAGTATCTTGCCTGGTTAATGTATCCCAGCAGGTGGACTGATGGGACCACCTGCTGCCGGGAGAACTTGGGGGAATGTCCAGGTGCAAAAATGGCAACAGCTGGTGTCTCGTTTCGTAGAGCATCCTGTCTCCTCCCTATTTCCCACTGTTAAAGAGGAGATATTTACAGGACCTACCTCATAGGATCCTTGTGAAGAAAAATGAACGAGTTAATGTTGTTAAAGAAAAATTATTTAGACACTTGTTAAAATGGTAAGGAAGACTTTATTCAAGACTCTTGCAAAGGGAATATTGCAAGAGGAGAGAGAAATCGAGCTGAATTATGAACACAGCAAGGACAAATGGGGTTTCATAGCCAAGCAGCAGAGTGAGCGGTCAGTGGATGGAACATTACAAAGAGGAGATGTCAAGGGTAGGTGGGGTTATGCTAAATTGACCTCATAGGGTTCCTGCTAAAAGGCAGGCCAAGGACTTAGACTTTGAAAGTAAGTGTGTGTATGGTGGGAAGGACTTGATCAGATACCAAGGGTGAGCTGATATCAAGGTCGGGATTCTTGCTAAAACTGGGCTATGCAGGCCCAGCCAGAACAGGATGAACACAGCGCCCAGGCTGAGACCTTGTCATGGGAGGGCTCAGAGGAGCCAGACTCCTGTTTGGTCAAGGATAGTTTTTGTCAAGGTCAAGTCCCCGGCACTTAGTAAATAGACAGTACGTATAATACATTGTTATTATCAATACACAAGGGGCCAGTGGTTGGTACCCACTTAAGATAGCAAAAGCTTCAGAAAGATCTGGCTGGAAGACCAGCAGAAAACCTATAGGACACGTCTGTCTCCAGACGGGAGAAGAGCAGGGAAGACAGGTTCTGTCAACATCCTGTTTGTCCCTTAACGGTGAATGGAAGAAACTGAGGAGAGGAAAGATTCTCTCACCTGGCATCTCAAAGACTGGCGACCACCCAAACAGGAACATCAGTTCCTGCTACTTCCATCCCCTCCTGACTCCATCCTTCACCAATGGCCAGAGAAACCCTTCATCTGCAGAACGTCAGCTTTCATTTCGGGCCACCCGGGATGAGGGTCCCCTGGGGTCCATCTGAGAACTTGTTTCCAGGAGGCAGGGGATCCCTGTGGGAACCTGGGACACTGCCTGGGCCAGTCCTGAGATCATAACAAGCCACAGGCTCTGTCCAGATACAAAGAGGAGATTTTTCCGGATGGACATGGGGACTTCTGCGGAGACCATGGGCCTCATTTAATGCCCCATGTGGAGTGGAGACACGGCCCTTCAGCCTGGGGCAGAGCAGCCCAGCACCTGCCATTGTAACTGAGAACTGGTGCACTGTAGAGACCAGCCGCAATCCACGAGCTTGAGTTTTCAGGATTTAGGCCACAGGGCGGCAGCTCTAGGCGGGAGCAATGAGAGGGTGAGTCCTGGCTTTGTCCACGCACTCTCTGAACTTGGGCAAATTGCTTTGCCTCTCTGTACTTCCATTTTCTCGTCTGTAAAATGAGGATAATAACAGTATCTTCCCAAAAGTGTTGTTAGGATTTGTAACACATGAAAAACGGTGAACAGTGTTTGGCAGGCTAAATCAGGATTAATTATTGTTAATTACCGTTATCGGCAGAGTACCGAGAAAACAGTAATTCCTCAATAAGTGGTGGGTATTATAACCTTGTGTTAGATTGTTATTGATCAGTTTCCTCCTCAGAAATATTGCCCATGTACCCCAAATCCTAGAGGTGTTTAATCCAAGCCTGTAGGTCTGTAAGAATATCGTGATCACCTCGTCAGGAGAAAATGCAAAACAAACAATGCCTGGAATTAGAGCTGGCATTTATTTAGTGCACATTTTGTGGCAGACAGTATGAAAAATGCTCAGAGTAACTGTTCACTACAACGCCAGGCTGTAGATACTGTTCTTACCCAGAGTTACACTAAGGTGATTGAGGTGAAGAGAAGTTAGGAGGCACCCCCAAAGGCACATCACTAACTGTATGAAACTGGGCTGGGGCCCGAGGAGGTCTGGCTCTAGCATCCTGGCGTTCAGCCGCTCGGCTCTGCTGTGCACACTGAAGGGAGATGCTGCCCAGGCTGAGATGGAAGGGGTGGAGGCCAGGAGGGGAAGACAGACGAGGCACCGGGCTGGGTCTGTGTAATACCCCTGCAGCTCCCAGTGAGCTGCGTTCATCCTGACCAGCCGGGGCCAGAGGTGTGGGGGAGGAAGCTGGGACCCACCCAGCTGGCTGGGATGGGGAGGGAGCCCAGGGGAGCAAAGGAAAGTGAAACTATTCTCAAAGGAGCCAGAGTTCCTGTTATGGCCCAGTCATGACTAAGGAAGGACAAATGGATCCTCCAAAAGCACATTGCACAAGGTTTTTTGGGGGGCAAGGGGATCATACTTTCAGTGACTACACTTTTGGAAGTCAAGCTTCAGTGTTTCATGTCCCTCATCAATCCTGTCTGTCTCAGCCACGTTTTAGCTTTGTACCTTCAACAAAGAAACTGACCTGCAGAACAGATTCATTCATTCACTCATCTACCCAGGCAATAGTTGTTGAACACCTATCTGGGTGAATATCTAATTGAGCAGTGGCTGGGTCATATAGTGGGGGTGTATGCAGCCTTTTAAGAAATTGCCAAATGGTTTTCCAAGTTGGTTGTACCATCCTCTTTTATTTTCTTCATAGCGTTTATCAATATCTGAATGTATCGCCCTATCAATTTACTTGTTTATTGTCTCCCTCCCGCCTCAACTAGACTGCAAGTCCTAGGAGGTTCTTGCAACCTCAACACTTGCCTGGCACATAGTAGGTGTTCAGGGCATGACCAGACATACACCAATGGAACACATTTCTGTGTGCCACGTCCTTCCATCACATGTACCTGGAAGACCTGCCACCCAACTCCCTGTTTGTCCTCAGGGTGCTACTGATAGTCCAGGCTCTGTCCCAGAAGTCACTTGGTCAGTGCCATGGGTTATGAAAATGGCTGATAAAGCAACCGCAGCCATTTCCTTCCTATGGTTGCTTGTGTCCTTTAAAGGTATTTTTTTTTTTTTACCCCTGCCTTGTTCCCTTCTAGCAGAGTGAAGTTGGGCAAGTTACTCAGCCTCAGCGTCACTTGGGGGATCCCGTGACAGAACTACGCAGCGTGCCTGGCACAGCTCCTGGCACTTGGTAAATGCTCCGTAAACAGCTGCCCTGCTGCTATGGAAAAAAAAATTGCAGCATCTTTCAGCGACTCTCAGCAGTTCCTGGCCCAGGACCGAAGCAGCAGAAAAAGGCCCGGTCGATGGGGGTAGGACTCCACCCGTACCCCTTTCCTACGAGCTAAGCCCACAGGCGGGGCCTCCTCATTTGAGCATGCTGTGACCCCCCAACGGTGACCCCCTAGTGCTGCCACTTTGTACCTAGAAAATGGGGACAGCGATAGTCAACCCCGGAGCTCTGTCAGGCACGAAGGAGGCACTGAATGTGAGAGGTTCTGAAATGATTTCCAACTGTCCTCAAAGTTCTGGACACCCAACGATTCTGACATGGGCTGGCCACTTCCTTTCCCGCGTAGGTGACTCAAACTGGAACAGAGAAAATAACCAAGACACTGTCGGCAAGGCACATGCATCTGTGAGAAAGCAGGGCCTCCACGTGAGAGAAGGGCCTGGGGCCAGCGCGTGGCTCTCGGTAGCCCCGGAAATGTCACTGGGATCTCGCCTGGAGACCTGGCCTCCAGTGTTTCGCTGAGCGTGTCACAAACGCTGGCTCCGCGCTCCCTGGCCTAAGTTCAGGCAGAGTTGGGGAAGGAAGCCCTGGTGTTTCATTGGTCAAGCTGTTCTCCGTACCCGTGGACGTGCTCTTCCCACTCTGAAGCCAGCCGCTGGGAACAGACAGTGGGAAGAGGGGGCAGAAGAGAGGGAACAGGAAGAACCGAACCCTGTGGATGGGGGTCGGGGTGGCTCTCCTGGGCTCACGGACTTCACCCCCTGTCCTTTGGCCCAGGTTCTGGTAGATGCCGAGGTTCTGAAAATATCAAACGCCATTATGATTCGTCAGTTAAATCACTGCATCCCTGCAGCCATTCACTCAAAGCAGGAAGGGACGAGATCCTAGGGGAAGCATGGGGCCGGAGGGAGGCACGGTGGGCGCGGCTGCGGCCTCCCTCCTCCTGGGCTTTCCGGAGGCGGCTGGACACTGCTGGGCAGGGCGAGAGGCCCCTCTCCAAAGGAGACACTTGATTTTTCGGATGAGCCGAAACGAAGGGGAGTTGATTCAGAACTCTTTGTCCCAACAGCACAGATCTCAAACTTACAGCAGCATCCATCGCTGACTTTGATAGGCCCAGCCAGGCTCCTTGAATCCTCCTCCTTGAACCTTACAATGCAGCCAGTGATCGCTAATGTTCCTCTTGCCTCCCCGTCCCACCAGGGTCCTGTGCAAATTACTACCGGGTGAGCCCATCCGCACACTTAGTAATATTACCCTGGCACTCCAGAGAGGCCTGTGTGCTCACACTGGGCATCAGCGAGCCCATCAGAACACCCTCTGGACCCCTTGGTGGGTGTGGGAAAAGCAGAAAGGGAGACCCCGCTGCCCAGGGCCCTTTGAATTCCAGGAAACGGTGGTTGTGTCAGACACCAGCCAGAGAGCGCACGCGCGGATTTCAGAGGCTGTTGCTCAAGCCCATCTGCCCCGTGGCTCTCCAACTCTGTCCCGTGGCGGTTCTTCCTCCCCCTTGCCCTCCCACAGCAGCCCTCTTCCCG